CCAAAGAAAGATGGAAAGGGATCTGGTGAAGAGAAAGGTTCCAGCACAGGTCCTCAGAACAAAGGAAAAGGCGAAGGATCCAAAGGTAAGAAAGTCAATGAAATGCTTGAGCAGCCTGAAGGCGAATCGTGGCCTACCAATGGTCCAGCTGAAAGTCAGGGTTCCAATGGAGATGGCAGCCGTGCGTCAGCTGCGAAGCAAGCAGCAGCCCCTTTGAATCCCATTTTGCCTACTCAGTCTTGGTTTGAAGACACGATCGTGCAGTTTGAGCGAGAGCAGATCACAGAAGAGCAGTTCGATTTGGTCCACGGATCATTTCTCATGGAGGAACAATTTTCTTCTGATTTTGATTTTTCATGTTTTGGAAACCCATCAGATTTGTGGAGTAAAACCAAGCATGTTTGTACCATGTCAGCTGCAGTTTTCATGCCAATGATGCCAGATGTCCCATCAGATTTGCACTGGTGGCTCATTGATTCAGGAGCATCAGCCTCTGTTGTGAGTTCTCGCTTCCTGAAACACTATGAAGTAGTAAAGAATCAAGTGCTGGGACCAGCAACCGGCCCTGGGTTTTCATCGGCAAGCGGTGAGACAATTCATCCAACTTCCCTTGTTTGCTTGAAAGCATTTTTCCGCTTGACGTCCAGAGAAGATCCTTCAGACACCATGTTGAAAGAGTGCTTAGTTTCAGCTTTTGTAGCAGATGTTCCCAATAATGTTTTGTCAGTGGGCAGCTTGCTGCGAAAGGGTTGGTCATTAAGCAGTTCCGGAAGTGAATTGGAAGTGTGCTTTGGAGGATACAATTTGGACTTGGTGACATGGCAGAATGTGCCATGGATTTTTCACGAAGTTGAGACGGTCATGGACTTTTCCCATGATCGCGATTTGCAGAAGACATTTTGGAGCCGTCGGAAAATCCATGATGGTCCGGTGAACACGGTTGAGCATTTGAGCGAAACTGACAAATCCATGTTGATGATAACCAAGAGACAGCCAGATGTTTCATTGGAAGAACTTGACCCCGCTGCTGCATCCTCTTCTAGCCCAGCATATGTTAGTAGTAGGCCTGTTTCCGATAGTGAATCTCCATACCGTGAAAGCCTCAGTGTGGAGCCTAACTCTATTCCGGATTCGAGCGAGCCTTTTGATTATGAGCCCAATATGATTGTAGACACAAACACAGGATTTGCATCCATTCCTTCAGAAGAGTCTTCAGAGCATCCAGCTGTATTGCGAAAACGAGACTTGAATAAATCCAAGCTTGAGCAACACCGCCGTCAAGGCCATTTTCCATTCCATGCAGATTGCCTTTCTTGCCAAGCAGCCAAGTCCACGACTCACCACAGAAGAAAGAAGAAATCGGTGTTGAGCAGTGAGATGGCATGTGATTTTTTCTTCTTGAACTTGGATAAAGCAAACAAAGAGTCTTTCAAGTATCTAATCATGGTAGATTTGACCACTGGAATGAAAGGCGTGGCCCCTGTCCAGTCGGACATTCGTTTGTCGCACCGATGGATACAGGCCTGGCTTGGCGAATTCAATATGTCCACAGAATGCCCCGAGCCAATTGAAATTATCACGGACGCAGAAGAAGCTGTTTCAAGTTTCATGAAAGGTGCCATCAACCACAGGCCAGCTTCATTTGTCAAAGCGCCGCCGCAAGGTCACCAGACCATTGGTGGAGCAGAGGCTGGAGTCCGAGCCATTAAAGATGCGTTCAACACTCTTCGGCAAGACTTGCGTGAGAATGGCTGTGATGTTTGCGTCAGGAATCAGACAGCTGTGAATGCCGCTTTGGCATATTTATGTCATTGCTCCAATTATTTTTCATGTTACTTAGATACAAAACAAAGTCCAAAGTCACTTGCACTTGGTCGGGAGACGACCCGGAAAACAACCATGTTTGGCAGTCTTGTCCTTGCAGAGGTGCCAGCTAGCTTGAAGAAAGATTGCATTTCCCGATTTGAGAAGGCAACGTATTTGCGACCTGAGTTCAACTCATTGGGGGATGTCGTTTGTACTGTCATTGGAGGGCAAGAACGTTTCTTTGTTTGCAAGAGCTTTAAGATTGTTTCCCCATTGGAGTGGGACGTCTCCTTGTCTCCATCTGTTTTGCATTTTTTCGACCGGATGCAGCTTGATGTTTCCATTGAAGATCTCTCCGCAAAGATGTCTGAACCTCTGCCATCTAGGATTATCGAGCCTGTGGAATATTCAAACGTCAAGAATGTTCCTTCATCCTGGATTCATGAGGATGGACGTACTAAAGGTTGTAGTGTTTGTGCGCGCCATCAGAGTTTCCACGGACTGAAGCACAATAGAAAATGTATAGACAGATACATTGAATTGTTGAGGAGACGATCAGATCCCATGTCTGATCTCAATATGTCTCAGGGTCCTGTTTTGGCAGCCGATGGCAGCCAGGTGCGACGTTTGAGTGGCAAGCAGAAGCCACCGCCAGGCCTGGGTGAAGCTGATGAACCCATCCAGCAGAGGTTTCCAGACTTTCCAGCAAACAGAGAGAAACGAGTTTCGTTTGATCTTCCAAAGAATCAACCCATACCAGAAAGTCTCCCAGTTGAAGGGGGTCAACATCTCGATGAGAATCCACATGATGTTCCATATTCGCCCAGCCTTGCACCCAGTTCTCCAAAGGCATTGGACGAGCCAGAAATCATCCATGACATGGAAGTAGACGACTCTGCTGACGGAATGGTAGACCTAAGTGAATTTGCAGCTGCTGGAGGCGAACCTACAGCCACGGAAGCTATGGAGTTAGATTTGGTAACAGCCTTGGATAACTTTGAGCTTTCGTATTTAGAAGAGCGTCACATTGGCATGTTGCAATCGGTTTATCAGATCCGCGGAGTGAAACCCAAGAGCAGCAAGGCAAACCTTTGTGGGGAAGAAATCTTACTTTTGTTTCCTGGATATGTCATCAGTGACGCCAATGGCCAATATCTCGACAAAGACCTTGCGTATGCAGGGATGCGCACTGAAATCGATTCCATGACCAGTCAGAAGGTTGGCAGACCAATCCATGAGCAGGAAGCCCAGCGTCTTGCCAAGCAATGGCAGATTAGTATAATCACTTGCCGATGGGTTTGTGTTGAGAAAGATCCCTTGAATGTTCGCATGCGACTAGTTGCACGGGAAATGGCAAAAGGAAAGAGTTCTGCCCGTGACCTCATGGTTTCTTCGCCTACTTCCAGCATTGAATCTTTGAGAATCCTCATTGCAGAAGCAGCAGTCCTGGACCTGGTGATTCTAGGCCTGGACATCAGTGCTGCATTCATGGCTTCTCCTCTAGGCCGGCGTCTTGGCAAACCCATCAAAGTCATTCTGAAGATGCCACCAAATACTATGCAGTTTCCAGATGGTAGCCCGATATTCCTCGAAGCATTCAAGGCCATAAATGGCTTGAGAACAAGCGGTTTGGCTTGGGTAGAACACTTAAGCCACTTGCTGCAAGAGTTAGGAATCAAACCGTCTTTGATTGAAACAACTGTTTTTTCTGGAGAAGTTTCAGTCAAAGGGCATGGAAAGGCATGGGTGCAAGTAGTTGCATACGTTGATGATCTGCTCGTGTTTGCCCCGAGTAAGGTATTTGCAGTTGCCGTTCAAGACCATTTGGCCCTACACCTAAAAGTAAAACGCACGGGGCTTATAGAGCGAAGTTTTGAAGGGGGTGGCAGTTTGCGTTTTCTTGGCCGCAACATCGAAAGAAAATCCAACAGCAAAGAGATTACCATCAGTCTGGATGAAAACTATTTAGATGGTATGTTTGAGGCCTACAGCATCAGCACTGCCAGTACAAATCCTCCAGATCTTCGACCGGTACTTGAAGACAGTTCCAAGTCTGATGAATTATCCCCAGATGCGGCCATGCGGTACAGAGCAGCCTTAGGCAACTGTCCTGGATGTCCCAAACATATGTTTTCATCAATGTATACATAGCTTTGCTAGCCACAGGCATGGCCACACCGCAAGATCGCCATGAAAAGGCTTTGAGATCAGTGTTGAAATTCATGAAAAGCCAAAGAGGCATTTACCAGAGATTCCCATCTCCCGAAGCAACCATCGAGGAACAAGAAGCGCAACGCTTGGTAATCTACTGTGATGCCAGCTGGGCCCCAATGCGCTTTCTCAAGCGTAGATCAATTTCTGGCGCGTGTGTTTTTTATCGCGGGTCCATCATCAAAGCTTTCACAAGATTGCAACAAGTGGTCGCACTTTCAAGTTGCGAGTCAGAACTGTCAGCATTAGCTGAATCCTTTCAAGAGAGCATGGGAATCAAGCGTATCTCTGAGCATCTTTTTCTAGAAACTCACGCGCATGTGACCAACATCCATGAAAGTTTTCAAGCTTCAGATCGAATACACAGTCTTGCAAACTCCCTGATTTTTGGATTAGTTGATGAAGACCTTGAACATGCCACAGCCATTGAGGTGGAAGTCCGTTGTGATTCCCAAGCAGCCATCCGAGTCCTGACCTCACCAGGGCTCCAAAGACGCAGTCGCCATGTTGAGTTGAGAATTTCTTTCTGCCAAGAGATGGTCCGAAGAAGAACCATCATTCTCACATGGGTCGAGGGTTCACAGCAAATTGCAGATATTTTGACCAAGTGTTTAGGAATGAAGCTGTTTTTGAAATTCAGGACATCAATGGGACTCATTGAATCAGCAGAACTTCCAGCCAAACTGGCAGACCAACAATCTGAATCCCAAACAAAGCGGACAGCCAAAAAGAAGAAAGGAAAGACGAATCAAATCCAAAGCATTTTGTATGGGGGTAGGCCGGAGTCAGTGAATGTTCAGTCTTTGGAGTCGAACTCCCAAGATGAAGAGCACGTGCTTGCTTCCACAGTCTTTGTGCCAGACGCTCAGAAATCAGATCCATCACAGTTTGCTTCACGACCATTGAGCTTGATCTTAGAAACACAAGAAGCCAATTTACCAGAATTGTCGCCTAGTAAGTTTTCAGGGATCTTCTTGGAAATATGTTGCGGTGTGAACAGCAATTTAACCGAGTCGATTCAAGCCAGTTTTTGTGGAGACATTCAAATGGCAGTCGTCCGAGTTTCCACAAGGGCAGATTTCACAATGTTTCATGCCCAGCTCAGTGATCTTGTGCAGCGATTTTCAAAGAAAGGTAAGCCTGTTTATGTGCATTTCTCCCTTCAGCCTTCAGGAAATTCAGACACGACTGAATATATCCCAGCAGATGCCGAGCCCACTGAATCAACGCAAGTTTCTGAGTTGGAACAAATTTTGAAACTGAGCCAAAGCCTCGCCGTTGCAGCAGATGAGTTCACTTTCGAGCTACCCAAGAGAAATAGGTATTGGAACAGTAAGTTCATGGCAGATTTCTTTGTGAAAGTAGGTCGCCATATCTATGCACAGTTCCCTCGGCTTTGCAGTTTTCCTGAAACAGATCCTAAGGTTGGAAAGATTTTCTTGTGGTTGGGAACCCATCCAAGTTTAGCCAGATCGTTGGCAAATCACACAGAGTGCAATTGTGAAAGTCACGTTGCATTCAATGCAGTCAATTGGGACAAAGTAAGCCATTATCCTGCTTCGATGTGTAGCATCATCGCTCAGGCCTATCGAGATGTTTACATTGGCAAGGACATGGCCAAGTCCACACTCCCAGCATACCGGTTTTTCGAGCCTGGCATGACAGAAATCCGATATTCCATGAAGAAACTGCTTGAGAACCCAGTTTGAACCGTCGTTGTTTTCTCCATTCTTTCCTGCCTGGGATAAGCTCCAAAAAAAAAAACAGAGATGCCAAGCTAGCTGCCAGAGCCCGATCAGGCCTTGACGTGCGATTTTCAGTGAGATGATGAGCCGATGGGCCATGCAATTGAGATTCAGCCAGCGAAAGGGGGTGCGAATGTCATACATCTCTTTCGATGCGTATTCATTGTTTGGTCGCTGGCGGACTCTCAGCCAATCACTAATCACTTGCTACAAGCTACAAGCAAATGTTGCCCCAACAAAACATCGAAACAAACTTGCTTTTAGCAAAGTCTTCAAGTCTATTTGACTTCACGTGATACTATATCAAATCATACCCACGTGCGTGAGCAAAGCGACAGCCATCTAAGTATGACACTTGGATCTAGAGATTTGCTTGTTTTCAGCGTGCCATCAATCCCTTTGAGCGCTCCTCCGAACACCTCAAAACTCTTTACAACCTCCTCCAAGACAGTAAGCTGAACTTGCTTGATGATGCTGTAAACTCATCCTATGCCATTCAGCTTGCATTGCCAGCTTGGAATAATTTTCTCCGAATTTTTCAAGTGATTTCAGAGATTTGTGAAAGTGTCTTTTGCTGCATAGCATGTGACACGTTTTGTGCGATTTGAGCAAGTCGTATGCAGTTTAGAGCTTGATTTCCAACTTTCCTGACAGCGCGTTCAGATTTCGAACGCGGACCAGTGATTTCAATCTTTGACAGAGCATTGAGATTTCGAACGCGGAATTCACATAGTGATTTCATTTTTGGAGAAACATTTAGACGTGCGAAAGAGGAATTTATAATCAGCTGCGGTACAGCTTATGAGTTTGAAGCTTCTCAGAAATCGTTTTGCGACGTTTCCACGGTTGAGACTTTTTTAAACATCCTGATGATCTCCTATTGTCTTGCGTTTCCTGGGTCCAAGCAATCTGTGAGATCGAAGTTTTTGAACCGCTTTTGATCACATTTCCAATTTGAGAGCCGTGCAAATTTGCAAGAGTTTTTTTTCCGAACTAGAGTAAGCAGACATGACGTCTGAACCGAATGTGAGTTTGGAAACAATTAGAGAATTTGACCGCAACCAAGCTTTCAGCTCTCCCTGTTGCCACAGCATTGTGAACATGCTCAGCCGCATCGTGCTTCCTTTGATCAATGAGATCAGCATTCCGCCAACAACATGTTGGCTCAAGATTAGGAGGCGTAAATTCTGCTAGCACAGTGAGACAAAAAGGGCGTGAGTTGTCAAGCAGAGTTGTCCACATTCTCAGTTGCAATTATCTACTCTTCTGGGGTGATAATTCTCGCACCACCATCACCACCACCACCACCATCATCATCATCGTCATCATCATCGTCATCATCATCGTCATCATCATCGTCATCATCATCGTCATCGTCATCGTCATCATCATCGTCATCATCATCGTCATCGTCCTCTCCATCGTCCTCTCCATCGTCCTCGTCATCATCATCATCATCATCGTCGTCGTCGTCGTCGTCGTCCTCGTCATCGTCCTCGTCATCGTCATCGTCATCGTCATGATCATCATCATCATCATCATCCTCGTCATCATCATGTCATCATCATCATCATCATCATCGTTATTCAATTACATTTTATCATTATTGGCAATTATTGTCATTATCACGAAAGCTAGTGTCAGCTCGCTAGAGTCTTCTTGCTTTAGCACGTATTCCGGGGCTCCCCAAGGACATCACGTGATTTTTCCCGCGAAAGGGCCCCCCCTGCCCCCTCCCCCATATATATCATTGTTATATATCATTGTTATATATCATATATCAATATATCATTGTTGCATCCTCGTTGGGACGAACAATGCCGCGACACGATGATGACAGTCCCTCCGCAACTCACCTCTTCCCTTCCTTCTTTCTCCTACCCCGCTAGCTTTCGTCATCCACCCCCGGCCTCAAGTATAGGATTTAGAGGGATGAAACAAACACCCATTATTTAGGGAGATTCAAATGGAGATGGGACCATGATTAGAAAAACGAGTTTCATAAGGATAGATACACAAACAAAACAAAACATATCTTGAAACTTGTTAGATTCTTTCCGCAATAAAGTCATAGCCCGGTTGATTGGTTAGTTTGTTGGGCTTGTACTCTCTGGTTCTTCGGGGATCCGAATAATATCTTGACCCAGTGCAGACATAAAAACCTGATTCATGGTTCAAAAACTTCTGTTACCTGGCTGGTGGTGACTCAAAGATTTCTAGAAGTTCTATATGTGGTGATGGGTGCCTCAACCCCTGAGTACTGAGGTGGTGCTGGTCCCATGTACGTAAGATGGCTTATTCCAGTGGCGTTTCAAAATGCCCAGTTATAACTGGATGCACACAGTATATATAATGAAATATTGGCTAATTGGCTATAACATGTTATAAGGCCCACAGCCGCAGCGGAGCTTGCCATGGAGCTTCTGGTCGCCCTCTCCAAGCCGGTTGCCGCAATGGTTGGCATCGCGGTCCACCAGCTTGGGGCGGTGAACTTCACTTCGGCCGACCGCTCTTTAACTTTGCTGATCATGACCGAGTCTTCCAAGCACTACTTGAACTTCGCTCACGTCGCATCTGATCCCCCGGTCGTTGCGGCGTTGATGGACCACCCTCTCAACAAGTTTTTGGATTTCTGTTTCCCCTGCTCTTTGCTTTTCTGCTTTTTGCTTTTCTACTTTTCCCTGCTTCTCTGCTTTTATAGTTCTTTGCTTCTCTGCCTCGTGCTGCCTCTCTGCTTCTCCGCTTTTCTGATTTTCCCTGCATTTCTGCTTTTCAAACTTCTGTGCTGCTTTGCTTCTGCTTTTCCCTGCTTCTTTGCTTACCTGTTTTTCTGCTTCTCTGCTTTTCTGCTTTTCCCTCTTTTTTTGTTTCTCATACCCCAGATTTATAATCCTTCACAAACATCATATATATTAATCTATAGAAATAATCTCTAAACCAACCAGAAATAAACCCCGAACCAACCAAAGAACCACTAAAACAACGCGCTAAGTAAACCCTAAACACTCCCTAAATAAAATTGAAATTAATCCTGAATAATGAATAAACCTTACACCAGCCCTAAATAGATCTTAAACCAGACCTAAATAAATCTTAAACCAACGCTAAACACACCTCAAACCAATCCTGAATAGATCCTACATCAACTCTAGATAGATCCTAAACCAAACCTGGATAAACCCTAAACACCCTAAACCAGCCCCAAATAGATGCTCGCCCAAGCCTAAAAACCGTAAACCAACCCTAAATATATTTTAATCCAGGCCTAAATAGATCCTAAACCAACCCTCAACAAACTTCAAACCAACATGAACCAGCCATAAATAGATCTTAAACCGAGCCTATATAAATAAAAACCTAAAACACACCCTAAACAAATCCTAAACTATCCTAAAACAAACCTAAATAAACCCTAACTCTAAAACCAACCCTTAAAAAACTTAAAACCAAACAAAACACTTAAACTAACCCTAAAACCAATCCTAAATGAACCCTAGTTGCAAACTACCATGTTACATGAAAAGTTCAATCAACAAAATGTTGCAAATTCCATCGAAAATGAAAGGTTCGAACTCAAAAAATGCTGCAAATACTGTTGAAACGGCAGCTTCCAGCTCCAAAATGTTAGAAATTCCACCAAAATGCTGCAAATTCTGTGGAAAATGATAAGTTCCAACTCCAAAATGTTGCAAAGACAGTTGAAATAGCAGCTTCCAGCTCCAAAATGCTGCAAATAGCCAGGAAAACGGACAGACAACAGATTTAAAAAAAAAAACAAAACGGAAAAAAAGGTGACCCAGGGCGTCAATTCCTTGTCTATTCTCATCAGATCGCAGGCTTCCGTTTCGAGAGAGGTCACGCATCAGCTGATGTTTGCCCAATCTTCTTAATGGAAAGCTCTTGTTCATTTTATTGTTTTTCTTGGTGTGAATTGGTACTACAGAAGACCAAGAAGCAAGAAACTGGTAATTTCAGCGCAAGAATCAAGAAGGTTGCCTCGGCGGAGCAGCGAACGGTTTACGCGCTTGAGATCTCTGGGACTTGTGCGGAATCGCAGACCCTGAAATTGGAATGGGATCCACTGCTGTCCAGAATAGGGCTCACTTCATTGGAGGTGTATACCCTTAATCTGGACGAAGTGTCAGGAATGTCTGTCCAACATTGGGTGAAACACTATAAATAAACCCTAAACCAATCTTAAATAGACCCCAGAATGACCAAAAAACTAAGATAACTCTAAGTAAGCCCTAAGTATATAAGTATACATGTATATATAAGTATATATATATATATAAACCCTAAATTAAATTTTGCCCTCCTAAACCTACCCTATATAGATCTCAAACCAAGCCTAAATAAACGGAACCAAGCCTAAATAAACCTTAATCACACATATATAGATCTTAAACAGACTCTAAATAGACCTTAAACCAGACCTAAATAAAGCCTAAATAAAGCCTAAACCAACCCTAAGCCAACCCTAAACCAACCCTTAAACCAACCCAAAATATCCTAAACCAATCTAACCAAAAACCAAACCAACCCGAAAACCAACCCGAAGCCAACCCCAAATAAACCAAGCCTAAACCAACCCTAAACTCTAGTCGCAAAAAACCATGCGACATGAACAGTTCGAGCACCAAAACGCTGCACATTTTTTCCTAAGTAAAATGAGAGGTTCGCACTCCAAAATGTTGCAAAATACAGTTGAAATGTCAGCTGCCAGCTCCAAAATGCTGCAAATAGCAAGGGAAACGGACAGGACAGGAGATCCCAAAAAAAAATCGAAGACGGAAAACACATAATTCCCAAAACAATTCCAGACCCAATTCATTTTGTTTGAAATAATATCACTATGTACTAGGTCAATCTTACATGGATACTTTAATCCTTTAGTCTTTTGGTATTAATGGGAATATCTACTAACCAGCAAACAAAATGCAGGGTATCTAAGATTGGCAATGTATATAATATGATATTAATTATTGTTAACACATGTAGATTTCTGTGTGTTATTTGTTGTTTGAACATCATATCAACGCATCAACAATAAGAGTATGTTGTTTATTGCCAACAGAATCAACATCGTTTGCAGGATAGTCACCCTTCAACCACTGTTCCGCCCAGAAAGTGCGCGAAAGAAGCTGGGCTTCGATAACAAAGATCGTCAGAAACTTCCCTTCGCTGCTGCCCCTTTGGCTGCGTTGGGGGTAGGGAACGCAATGAATTACGGAAATCGGTTGGGACTGCGTATGCTATACGACAAACAACACACATGTATATATATATATATATATTTACATGTTTTCATATGTTTTCACATAAATACATATAATATTACATATACAGAGAGAACATATAAAAGTACTGATAGATGTAGTTTTCTAGCAGGTAAGTTGGATACCCCATGTACATGAAAATAATGGCACCATGGCTGGATGGCCATTCATCGCAACTGGATTACTCTGTAAATCCACCGAGTTATTTGGGAGCCGAAACCTACGTTTTTTTTTTTTAATATCACGTGGGTCGTCATTCACAGAAGTTTCCCCTATTTTGATTTTTGATGAACAGAACGGGGCTGAGCCAACGGGTTTTAAATCATAGATTCATAAGCATTTGCTTCTCTCTCCACACTGCATGCTATCTCCCAGCTACCGGATATGACAAGCACAGAATTCAAGTCGGATCGATGGGGATTGTTTGATTTGGTGATGGATCAAAACCGTTGTTTTCCTCCATCTTTTGGGAGGAATGAACATCCCCAAAAATTCAATCTATTTATAGGGTTGAACCAAAGGGGGTGGCAAGTAGCAGTTCCCCACAATTTTCAGGTGTCGAACTTTTGGGGGTGCTATCTGTATAATATCAATATATATATATATATATAACATGATATATATATATTATATAGATATAGATATACTGTATATATATTGTATATATATATATATATCCATATCAGATCATATCAGTCACAGAGGACCGGAACTGATGAACCCTTTTTTTTGCGACTGGAGAAAACTTCAGTTTTGATCCGCTGCGGAAGATCCAGGGGGTCGATGGTCGATGGCCCAGGAGTTGAGGAAGATGTTTTCCTACGCTGTGAGTGTTGGCCAACCGACCCTTGGAACGAGTGAAAATTTTCGAAGATTTTTTCGGTCATTTAATGAGGCCTAAAATGGTGGCATTCAAAAAAGGAAAAACATGAAAAAACACAAAACTCAAGTTTTTAGTTGTTTTTCCAGTGAGAACCAATCATTTATTTGAACATGTAGGATGTAGGGTACTTGTCAAGAACCATGGTTTTCGGGTTGTAAAGTAGCGTGTTTGTTCTATACTCGAGTTGTTTCGGGACGAACTGCGCTACGGATGGGAAATTCATGGAGCAGGCAGATGTGACCCCATAGACGGGATGTTTCGAGTGTTTCCGCAGACTGAATTGCAATCGCTACACAATTTGAACCTTATAATATAAACCCTGGATTAATAAACCCCAAGAAGGGTACCCCCCTAATTAATAAACCAGGGTTTATTAATCCGGGGTTGACATTATATGCCTGTCTTTTTGGACTACAGCTACATAGGCAGCACTTGGATTGCCAGTGTCACATGAGGCTGTGGTTTTCCATTCCGTGCAGAGTTGTTTTTCCTTCCAAGAAGGTTTTTCACTGCACACAATACTGCTTCATAGATTCTATTGATCTATCTATTGAGCCTCATATATATATATATAATTATAATATTATTATTTTTTGTTATTTTTATTTTTATTTTATTATTATTATTGATTATTAGTACTATCATTATTATTGTTATTATCATTATTATTATTGTCATTATCATTGTCATGTTTTTGTTTTTTTATTGTTATCTATCATAAATATATATAAATATATCATAAATATATCGTAAATATATCACATCATACATATATCATAAATATATCATATAATATCATTTACAGTATATATATATAGATATATCATAACTATTTCATAAATTTATCATAAATATATCATAAATATATCATAAATATATCATAAATATATATCATAACTATATCATAAAGATGTCATAAACAATAGTTGTGTTTGTTTCCTGTTGTTTTTTTTGTCTTTTTGACATCTCCATTTTGTGTGCCCCTTTCGGCGAGGCTGCGAGAGGTCTTGCTACAGAAGTTCTGGAAATATCACGACATGGCGGAGGACGTGGAAGCATGTCACCTGGCCCGCGAGCCATCGCACCTTGAAGCGAAGAATTCTAAGAAGGGAAACACGGTGGATAGGAAAGTCACCAACATCTTAAGGATTTTTAAACCTTATACTTGTATATGAATGTATATGATTTGCTGGGGATTGGATGTTAAGCTGCCACTCTTTTTCATGGATCAACCATCTATATATGCTAATGTCTACGCAGATCGGCTGTGAATTTTCCAGCCTGGCATGGTGTTTTCCCATGGGTGCTGGGGATGGGATGCCACTACTGAAATCCCTCGAAAAAGATGGCAATTTTTCGCCATCCAGGATGCGCATTTGAAAAAAAGGAGTTGAAAACCAACCAAACAGATCTTGAACATAATTGCACTCTGATGAATTCAAAGCTTTCCCGTTCACTTTGAGAATTTGGCTTTCGAGCAGCTGATTGTGTCCCAGTTGGCCAGTTTATGGCCCGCATCAGAAATGGTTTGCATCAGAAAGCGAGTTGATCACCGGAAAATTGTCTTGGCTTCATCTTAGCTCTTCATCGTTTTTGTTTGGTTGCAACGGATTTACCTTCCGGTCATCAAACATAGCTATGCAAATGTCCAATTTGTAGATGATTTACCGACAGTAAATATGTGAATATGTTGCATTGCCATGTGATTTCCGGAGGGTATCCAATGTTCGGCTCAATGTGAATCACCATTTTGCGATGTTCCTGTGTTGGTTTGTGCCCGCTGTTGGCGAGATCCAGATGTTGAATTTTTGTGAAATTAATCATGCGTGTATGTTGTTTCATTCTGTTGTTCTTTCTTTGGGATTTTGTAAGGGAAACAACATATACATGGGTAAATTATAACTTAACCTCACTGTTCTCCCTCACTGCAATGATGGTGTATGGGGAATTCTCCCCAAATGGGCGCAAGTTCAGGTTAGTGAAATATTACAATTTACCCTGATAATATTCCAGATACAGATACTTTTATAACTTATATATTTACCCTTAAATAATACTGAACCCAGATAATGTGATATTAACCCATTGCAGATCATTTACCAGTATTAACCCATATTAATTAACCATTATTTACCATTATTAGCCAATTTTTTTCGGTTCTTTCGATGTTTCATAGACGAAGCTGTGGTGGTTTTCACATGTTTTCACCAGGTCTAATGGAGTATCAGAAGCTGAAAGCCGACGCCTGGCGATGGTGATGTCCTTATTGTGTTGGGGGGTATTCATCAGAAATATATGTGGATATAATACTAATTAATACTATTATATAATGGGGATAGAACGGGGTATGTGACCAACTTCACAATTTGATTGTTTACTGGGTTTGTCTTATTTTTTGGCATCACTAATGATGACTTGAATGGAGAAAACTTTATGTTTTTTAGCATCAACATTTGGGACTAAAGTTGCAATCTTAGTGTGGAACAAGAGGATAGGTCATGGCATTTTTGGGTACCCTATGTTCAGGCAATCTCTTGTGATGTTGTAGTGACATGAGTCATTCTTGAGATCAATAGTGCTCTGGATGCATTCATTTATATACTTGATATGTTTGGCATTCTCAATCCCTTTTTCGGATTGGCCAATTTTGACCTATATCCACATATTTTTCGTGGAAGGCGAGTAAGAAACAGGATGTCAGCAACAAAAACAATAAGGAATATATTTAGGTGTATTTTAAGTGGTATAGCATTTCTATTCAAACATCTTTTCAGGATATTTAAGGATACATACATACTACGGGCAACAGTCTTTGACCACACAGATAGATAAGGATAAGAAACTGTTTTTCATCCACAAACCATGTCTTTAATCAAGTTACTGAACGCTGTCGCCATCACAGAGCTTTGTTTGAGCTAGGTTTGTGACCTCAAGTCTTAACGTTACTAGAAATGAGTGGCCAAACTTCTTAAGGGCTTTCATTTGCTCGTATCATAACTTATCCAGACATCATTAACTAATTATAACTTAAGTCTTTAGTGCTGCTTAGATGAAATAGTCAGACTTCACACACCTCAAACTTATGACACACACATTTTATTTCGCTACACCATTTCTATCCATTTCTACATCTCGAGCCTCCGTTTGTACCAGGTGCTCTGTTGTAAGTCCCATCGACTTGGAGGAACATCCCAAAAAGGTCCTGGTAACTGGTTAACCCTGGATAGGTCTGAATAACCCGTGGGTTATCCTCTGGTAAACTAACATAGCTATTGAAAATGGCCATTTATAGTGGATTTTCCCATAAAAAATAGTGATCTTCCATAGCTATGTTAAATTACCAGAGGGTATCCTCTGTTTAAGTGGATTACAACTAGGCTTATATGATTACTAACCACTTACTAAGAGGGATGATACTCCTAAGTGTTTGCACCGACTTAGCTATCATACATCGGCTATTGAATCAAATGAAATCACCCTTTTCGTTGGTTAAATCCTCTTAAACCAACACGTTCCTATATTTCTCTATAGGTTTCCCGTGTTTTCCTATGGTTTTCCCAAGTGCTTTCCCATTTGGTGGTTTCCGAATCATACGCGTTCCGGTGGTTTTTCACTGGATCACAGAGGCAGAAGACTACTTGGACTTTGATGACTTGCTGGAGCAATGTGACTTGGTATGTTTTGCTTGGGACGTACCCTCTGGTAATGACTAACATAGCTATTGAAAATATGAACATGGCATTCTTTCATGGGAAAATCGACGATTTCGACTGGGCCATTTTCAATAGCTATTTTGACATAACCAGAGGGTAGTTTTGGTATGTTTTGGTTGGTCGATCACCTGTTTTTCGAAGGATTTTGGAATATTTTGATTGGGATGGATTGGGCCACCGCATGCGCCTGCCACGCTCAAAAAGGATGACACCGGCAACTTGCCGCACACTCTGGAGCTCTGAGTTCGGCACCTTCACCAGGAACGGTGATGAGCTGTCCGCCCGATAAACGCCTGCGAAAATGGGCCGGATGCGGCTGCGTTCCTTGCCCTGAACGAGAATGCTGTCCATCCTCGTGTTTGGACACGCGACCTGAAGAGCTCCAGTGGCACGTTGCCCACATCAGTGACGAGATCGCCGCCATGATGGATTTTAATGCAATGATTGAACAGTTGAACAACACATCTACCATCTGTTTTTTTTTAATGCCATGGAAAACACCATGCTCTCAATAGTTAAACCATCTATTTCTATGGGCCATTTTCCATGGCTATGTTAAATAACCAGAGGGTGAGTTTAAATGAAATTTAATGGTATGTTAACGGATTTAACCGTTAATGATTGGGATTTGAACTGCCTAGACCCTCCAAGTACCTAGAAACGATGGGAAATATCTAAGCATACCAACTACCTGGGTTATCTGGGGTCATGATAACCCTCAATAGGCATACCTATCAACCAAGCAGTACAATGAGATGGAACAATTGGGGCTCAAACCAGAAGTTGGTTTTGAACTTGCTTATGCTGTCGTCTATATTCATATATATATATATATTATATTCGTATATATGGTCCCGTGTCCCGTGTTCCCACCCCCCCCATGGGATGGGGGGGGTATGATGCCCCTGTGGTGGTGTATATACATATATACATACATACCTACATACCCGCCTACCTACATACCTACCTACCTACATACATACATACATACATACACACACAGACATACATACATACCTACCTACCTACCTACATACCTACATACCTACATACCTACGTACCTACGTACCTACATACCTACGTACACACGTACACACATACATACATACATACATACATGCATGCATGCATGCATGCCTACCTACCTACCTACCTACCTACATACCATACATACCTACATACCTACATACATACCTACATAGCTACATAGCTACATAGCTACATAGCTACATACCTACCTACCTAGCTACATAGCTACATACCTACCTACCTACCTACCTACCTACCTAGGTCCACCGCTCATAGGCGGCCGTGGTGTAAAATAGCATTTTCAATGATTCAATGTTGTTTGAATCACGCAATTCCACTGCGTTTAAGGGACAGTCTTTGATTTCACATGTTTCATGCGCAGTTCCATTGCGGAAAATCTTGTCATGATAGAAACCAGTGGAACTGCGAGCAAAATATTCTATTTTTTTTGCCCGCAACTAAGGACACCTTTCATCTTTTGTGCATCATCACCAACATCATCATCACCATCTAGGAAGAAAGTTCACAACGTAGCATCAAGACCGTCTGAAGTTCAAGGAAGAAAGTTCACAACGTAGCATCAAGAGCGTCTGAAATTCTAGGAAGAAAGTTCACAACGTAGCATCAAGAGTGTCTGAAGTTCTAGGAAGAAAGTTCACAACGTAGCATCAAGACCGTCTGAAGTTCTAGGAAGAAAGTTCACAACGTAGCATCAAGAGCGTCTGAAGCTCTAGGAAGAAAGTTGACAACGTAGCATCAAGACCGTCTGAAGTTCTAGGAAGAAAGTTCACAACGTACCATCGAGAGCGTCTGAAGTTCTAGGAAGAAAGTTCACAGCGTAGCATCAAGACCGTCTGAAGTTCTAGGAAGAAAGTTGACAACGTAGCATCAAGAGCGTCTGAAGTTCTAGGAAGAAAGTTCACAACGTAGCATCAAGAGTGCTCAAGTTCTAGGAAAAAAGTTCACAACGTAGCATCAAGACCGTCTGCAGTTCTAGGAAGAAAGTTCTTCACAACGTAGCATCAAGAGTGTCTGAAGTTCTAGGAAGAAAGTTCACAACGTAGCATCAAAACAACGGAGTCAAGTAAAACGCACGCGACAGGACGTTATTACGCCCCCCCCGAACACCCCCCCAACCCCCCAAAACCCACCACCACAATAAAAAAAAAGGAGAAAACAAGGTAGAAAAACGGACCATTAACACAGCGAGAAACAGACAAAATGCTGTAAAAACCAATGCAAAACCACAAAAAAACAACAAGAACGCCACGGCCATTTGTGGGCGGTGGTCCAACCTACCTTCCTACCTACCTACCTACCTACATACATACATACCAACATACCAACATACCAACATACCAACATACCAACATATCAACATACCAACATACCAACATACCAACATACCACCACCACAGGCCACAGGGGGGGGGACCAGAAGAACCATACCATCACCACAGGCCACAGGGGGGGGGGGACCAGAAGAACCAGACGATACTGTCCACCCATACCAATTGGGGGGGGGGGGGCTGGCCGCCTGGCCAACGCTGCACCATCTATATATATATACACACATACACATACATACATACATAATATATATATATACTATATATATTTATATATATACAGTACACCATACAGTGTATATATATATATATATATACACAAATATGTACGTACCTATAAATGGGTCGATGACCCAACTCGGAGTTGCGGGGGGCATCACTTTGTAGTTGGATGGGCATCATACACATTGAATCTGTTTGCGGTCGCCCCGAACTATGATGACTCTAACGGGAAAGCATATCTTATGGACGTGTCTAGGGACTCTTTCAGATGGATCTGTTTGAAATATGTTGGGAACACCCATCCAAATCATCCATCATATATAACATATCATGTTTCAGAACATTGAAGTGTATGGCCATAATGAAGTTTGCTTGTTAACATGATATGTTTCAGAACATCCAACGTATCTCGTTTTATGGCCATACATTGTTTTGTAAGTCACCCTTGTTTGACAAAACCCCGTTGCACCGGCGAAGGTCAGATTTTGTTCAGCCCATGGGAACCACCCTGGCTTGAAACAATTGAATTGTTCCCCACCTGCCAGGTGAGGGTTGTTAGATTTTATGTCAGTTGCCTCCTCCTGCCTCGTCCTCCTCCTCCTCCTCCTCTCCTCCTCGTCCTCCTCGTCCTCCTTGTCATCCTTGTCGTCCTTGTCGTCCTCGTCGTCCTCGTCGTCCTCGTCGTCCTCGTCGTCCTCGTCCAACTGCGACCCGCGATCCACAGTGTTCTCTGCCGGACCTCAACCACGACCATCCACGCCCAGTGTTCCCTGCCGGACCTCAACCACGACCATCCACGCCCAGTGTTCCCTGCCGGACCTCAACCACGACCATCCCCGCCCAGTGTTCCCTGCCGGACCTCAACCACGACCATCCACGCCCAGTGTTCCCTGCCGGACCTCAACCACGACCATCCCCGCCCAGTGTTCCCTGCCGGACCTCAACCACGACCATCCACGCCCAGTGTTCCCTGCCGGACCTCAACCGCGAGTATCCACGCCAAAAGATATGCCACATAGAGTGCCAGAAGATATGCCAGATAGAATGTTAGAAGATATGCCAGATAGAATGCCAGAAGGTATGCCAGATAGAATGCCAGATAGAATGTCAGCTAGAATGCCAGAAGATATGCCAGATAAAGTGCCAGAATGTTTGCCAGATAGAATGCCAGCAGATTTGCCAGATAATATGCCAGAAGATATGCTAGATAGAATGCCAGATGGAATGCCACGAGATTTGCCAGATAATATGCCAGAAGATATGCCAGATAGAATGCCAGATGGAATGCCAGAAGATATGCCAGAACATATGCCAGAACATATGCCAGAACATATGGCAGAAGATATGCCAGAACATCTGCCAGAAGATATGCCAGAACATCTGCCAGAAGATATGCCAGGTAGAATGCCAGAAGATATGCCAGATAGAATGCCAGATCGAATGCCAGACAATATGTCAGATAGAATGCCAGAAGATTTGCCAGTAACAAAATGTATAAATGTCATGGTGGGGATCACACGAAGTAAAGTATTTTTTTTGCCAAGAAGAGACAGTGAATCTCTATGGTTTTTACTAAACAAAACAAATATATGGTTATATGGTTGAATAATATGACTGATGTGAAGTTCTGTATTGATTGTATTGCACTTGGATGTGTGCCCCAGCCAAAATTGGTGGCTCATAATCCGTCTGAAAGTGGGGATCCAAACAGACCTGACAGGAGCTCTATGGGGTGACCCATGGTTCATGGATTGCTGATAGTTCTTTGATCAACCACTGGAATGATTTAATGGATTCACCAATACCATTGATATAAAAAAAACGGTTCTTCATTGATATGGTCCTATGGTATATTGAACTTAGTATGACATTAACTTTAGTGATAACCAGGGTTGATATATTGACATGTTCCTATTAACTATGATATTATGGTACCATTATGTAGCATTGATTCTATGGGTTGATATTATGGTACCATATTCAACCATACTATTGATATAACTATTTTGGTACCATATCAACCCATGGCTTTTGAGGCCACTGAGGGTCGCGAGCCGAGGCGACCGCGTGTTGCAGGATCCCCACGTTTGCCAAGAAGTCGCAAAGGACGCAGGGCCGAACTCGGTTACAACGGTTGATTCGGATGAGTGAACATGGTGATTTAATGGTGGTTTAATGGTGATTTAGTGGTTTAACAATGGGTTAACAATGGTGAATAATGGGATGATAATGGGATATACCCTCTGGTTATGACAAACATAGCCATGGTATAGATGGCCCATAGAAATAGATGGATTACCGTTCTTAAAAATGGTGATTTTCCATGGCGAACTGGTAAATAACCAGATGGTAGATATTTCATATACCCTCTGGTAAATTAACAGTTTGACCCTGAAAATCATTAATGTTTAATGGAAACTAATCTTCCAACCCCTATCTGGCAGGGTCTATGTTAATTTACTGGAGGGTACTATGTATATACTATGGACTATGTATATGATTGTATACTATCTGGTTGGTGGTTTGGAACATGGCTTTTATTTTTCCCATATATTGGGAAGAATAATCCCATTTGACGAGCATTTTTTCAGAGGGGTTGAAACCACCAACTAGCTATGTATATACTATGTATATGATTGTATTATATTTATATACTTCTACATTTATACATATGTACATGACATTATATTACATATACATTATAAGTTGATTATATATATATACAGTATATATGTTATTCTAGTTTCGCTCCAAGATCCCATCCCCAGCCATTCTGCAGAAAGTCTGTCAGGTAAACCGCGCAGTAAGCCATTCCGCAGTTTGTGTTTTGTTGTCATTTGTTTGGAATAAACAATAAATAACCACTAATAGTGATAGTTCATTGTGAACAGCCACACATATTCCTATTCCTTTGGAATAAAAAATGTAGTTCTTATAGTATGTGCGTGAGATAACCACTAATATTCGTTGTATTTCACAAGCCACGCTCCCAGAACTGTGAGCACGTCTTGGTGGACGAGTGCCCGACATGTTATCACACAACAAACATGGGATTTATTTCACATCATGGGGATGTAATTGGTATAGAAGTAACTTGATATGCTATTTGATATGCTCCATAAGTTGGTTTCCGACTAAAATGATTATAGGTTTTATGCTATAATCCAACATTTTTATGAGATGTGATCTTGCGGCCCACTGCTTTGTTGGTATCACCATTTCCTCACTTTGCTTGGCCACAGGTACCAAGACACCGACCTGCTTCAAGGGTCCATCTTAAAAAGTCGCATGGCTCGGGCTCGGGCAGTCGGGCACTACACGGCCGAAGCCGACGGCGGTAGTGTAGTCATCATCTATAAATGGGGTCTATAAACCAACCATCACAGAATTCAATGGAGAGATAACCTATAAAAAATATACAAAAATGGGGTTTGAATATGTGTTTTAAATGGGAAAAAATGGTCAATATTGGTTATTGGGATAAACAAGGGTTAAACATGGTCAATGGAATATTTAATGGGATACCCCTTGCTAATCAAACATGCTAGCTTGGAAATCCCCTATTGATAAATGGATGTTTCTACCAGAGAAAATAATCCATGGAGTGTTTTCCAGCAAAGCAGGTTTGATGACACCGGAGGGTATATTTCCATGATATTAATCCTAATTTTTGTCCCATTGTATCCCATTGAACTATCCGGTAAATATCCTGTAAATCTATAAATCCCTAGAAAAATCCCTCTAAATCCCGATTTTTATCTCTGAAAACATCTCGGATGCCGTGTTGACCTGACCCATCCCCAAAATACCCTCATTTTTTGTGTGTTTCAAAGTTCTCAGACCAGGTAACTATGGATCTTACGATGGATTTTACTAGATACTATGGTACTACTAAATACTATACATATATATATATATATATTGATTTTACTATAGAGTCAATGATTTTACTATGGATTTAACTATGGCTATGACTTGTCTTACTATGAATTTCACACGTCTCAGACGGCGATCCGAGGCATCACCTCGGGCAGGGCTTCGCCGCAGATCACGGTGGTGGGGGATGATGCGCAGGGGATCTACGGCTTTCGAGGCGACTTTCGCAGCTCCAAAACGGATCCAAAAAGGATATGGGGATAGAAAACCATCGAACATGGGGGTATTTGTTTTGGGTATATGACATTATATATAATTTATATAATGACCAATGATGATACGGATGGTGGTTTGAAATAATTATATTGTGTATGTTCAGCTGTATCTATCAATGATGCTCGGTGGCTCATCCCATGGATCGTAAGTAGGGTAGTTCACCCTGGTTAGTGGATTAACCCTACTCAAATCCCACTTGTAACCAGGGATACTGTAGCCACTTAGTGGGATGAACCACCAAGTAGGTAGCTGATATCCCTGGTTTTGGGAATGGATAAGTACGCTGAGTTTCTGAAATTTTCACAAGGCGGTGACTAACAACGAAGTGGGATGAACCAGCAAGTGCAGCAACTGGTTGGGTCAGTTGTCCCAATAAATCGAGCACCCAACGCAATGAGAATCTTGGGAACGATGGATGTAGCAACCATCCAAAATAGACCGAAAAGTCAAAATTTACCACTGTTTTATACTGTTTTAGTATTGGGTTCTACTTTCCTTTCTTTTAAGAACCCCCAAAATAGATGCCGAAAAGTTTGAAACCTGGAAGTGCTTTTCGGCATCTTTTCAGCTTGCAGAGGAAATCACTGTGCCGCTATGCCCCATGATATTGGTGATGGTTAATGATAGGGTTATGAATGGTTAATGATGGTTAATGATGTTTAATGATGGTTAATGATGGTTAATGATGGTTAATGATGGTTAATGATAGGGAACTATATATTCAATATATACATATCTGGTTGGTGGTGACTGGTTTCCATGGCTGCTATCTTAGACTTTCCATTAATATTGGGAATGTCATAACTCCAACTTACAAAGTCCATCTCCCTGGGATCGATCACCGAGGTCACCGGAACGGTGGGATATCCCCCTTGGGATATCACAAGTTCTAGCGGTTTGGACAGATCATAGCCATGAAAATTGGAGTACCCGAGCTCCAGACAAACTTCTTGTAGCTTTCATATCTGCAAACATAATCAAACATATATATATATATACTGCATATACATGTATAAAGGATATGTTGCTGCATATGTTGCTGTTTACAAGGATGAAACCTCAACCACCATCTTAATTTTTATATCTATATTGGCATCCCTGCCACCTGTGATCCAATGCGAGCAACCGGATGGAAGATGACCTGGCGAAGGGAAATATAAATGGAATATATATATATACATGAATCATATATATGATTTCAGAATGTGGATATATACGGATATATGGATAACTTCATAGTGGAATATATATTCAACATCATCCTTACAACATCTTATGATAAACCATGATAAACCCAAGATGGGAAAATATAGGTTTTTGGGGAAAACCAGGTTTTTCTCATGGTTCATGGGAATAGCCAGGGTTTAAAATTGCGACCTAGGAATTCTTAGGTTTTAGGTTCTATAGGCACATATAAATGTATAAACACATATACTTAATATAATATACATTATTGTGTCTGATACTGACCATGTTTTTCATTGTTTTTCCCTGTCGCTGTTATTGTTACATACCAGTATATGCTCTGTATATATTTGTATGTATATATATATATATATATGTGGATATGACACCTTTTTTGTACACAAAAAACACCACTTTAACCTTCAACTGCAATCATTTGTGTTTCTCCAACTTCAGGCCCTATATCATTCTATTTTCCCAGGTGCTGACATCACAAACATTCGCGACTTCGAAGACACCTTTGAAGGCACCGGCGCGTGCGAATCAATTGAATCTCCCAGTCATAATGGGCTGCCCCAGAGTTTGGCCAAGCAATATGGCCATCGAATGACCATCAAGAATGGGAATGTGATTGCGAACCATTTTCCCCTGTAATATCCTATATGTTCACACATTGATAGACATTAACCAGTTGGTGGTTTCAAACATGTTTTATTTTCCATAATATATGGGATAATCCTTCCCGTTGACGAACTCATATTTTTCAAGATGGTTATTGCACCACCAACCACTTATATAATACATATTACACGTGAACCCTGATGCGCGGTGAAAATAGGCTCCCATACCTTGATGGCAATGGATTTCATCATTCACAATGATGAACGCTTATGCTTGAAGACTAATTATATATGAATTATCATGAGTCTCGTAGCAATCAATGATGACATCAATTGATGTTTGAGACAATTAGTAACTAAACTACGAAAAATATGGTTTCTGGCGGATACATACACATTGTTTTAAGCAAATGAATTGTCGTTGGGCGACCATGAGCTCATTGTTTGGGATGGGTGCCGCCACTTTGTGGTGATGATTTGTAATGTTTGGGGATGTGGTATGATGCGGTGGGATGTGACATCTTTTGAAATTAACATGGAACCTAAGCGCATTGCTATGTTCACATATTTTCACGGTGTTTTCTTCCGAATTCTCAGACCTTCAGTGATTTTAGGATCTTGATTTGCTAGTTTTTTGTTCTGAAGTGGGAATGGAAATCTACTAAAATGCTATGTGGGGCCCCTAAAATAGCAAAGTTTGTTTATCATGGAAAAAGCATGCCTTGGATGCCTTGGTTAATTTAAAACATCTAGAAATATCTCGTGTTGCACTAAAGTCACGAACTTTGGAATAACTTTGCAAAGCGCTATCTGAGGTTGGCAATTGACATGTGGTTCATGATCTCAACTATGTTCGAAGGGATTTTTTTCGTGCAAGTGGCGAAGTTGTCATGCGGAGAAGTCAGCTGACCAAGAACCAATAAATTTGTTTCATGTTACCCTCTGGTAAACTAACATTTTCAATAGCTATGTTACTCATTACCAGAGGGTAAGAAACTCATCCATCGCCACACCTGGCACCGTTTTTTTTCCCCCCGCCAGACGTGAGCGTCTTCAAACTTGAAGAGCGCCTTGGAACGATTGGAATGTCCTCCCGTGGAAATCTACGAAGAATTTTAGCACATGCCAACCTCAACAAATATATGATATTATAATATATTATATGTTTAAAAATTAAAATTTATAAAGACATAGAAATTCAAACTTAAGAAGCACTCATAGATGATTCCAGCCTGAGGTTCCATGCCATCAATTCCTGCGCCATGGGTCGTTCCGGTGGCTGAGCCCCAGGAATTATCGAAGCCACCAGAAGATTTTGGACTTGGCAAACAGCGTCATGTCATTGGCCACCGAGGGCTATCGCCCGCTGCCTGTGTCGGGAAGGGGGTTGGGGCAGCTCGGGAGAGCTCGGGAAACCAACGGCTTTTGGTGGTTCTTTTGGGGAAACACACTTTTTGTTTTGGGGAAACCCACCGAGTTTTTCTTTTGGAAAAGAAATGTCGGAAACTCATAGTGACCTGACCTCCAAAAAAAATAAAGAAATAATTAAATAATAATATTAAAAATACATATAGAAACGTAAGGTTCAATTCCAAAGATTCTAATAAATAGATCCTCTTCTCAATCCGTTTTCCCACAAACCCATAGTTTTTTTTTTCCCCATCCCAGTCGCGTCGTCATGTTGAACCACCAAGGAAAGACCTTGCATTCACAACTTCCAGGCGGATCATTTCCTGAACTCGCGTTCTTCAAAAATCGCTCAGCAGAGGCGGATCGAGTTCTGCCGCCAGGTTCCGGCAGGAAAATGTGGGAATCGAAGTGTGATTTACCCTCTGGTAATGACTAACATAGCTATTGAAAATGACCATTCATAGTGAGTTTTCCCATTAAAAATGGTGATTTTCCATAGTTATTTTACTTTACCAGAGGGTAAGCATTGAAAAAAGTGGAACATTGTGATTGCACAGTCTGTGGTTATTGACTGGGGTACGGTATATCCATGGATATCCAAGGTGGGACCAATGTTTTCCTATATAAAACCACTATACTATCCTTGTCAAGTGGGTAGGTCTGATAATATGGTGATGACATCTGATGACCACCAAAAAAAATGGGGGTTATCGGGTTATCATCATGTTCCCCTTAAGCCTGTTCAGTCACACCCAAGTGCTGTTACTGTAGCAAGATTCTGGTTGGCAACGCAGCGCTTGTCGCCGCTATATGGAGGATGATGGGCCTTCCTTTCCGCACCATAGTGACATTGCATCGTTCAGCATGTTCAGTAATCCAGGATTTCTGCATCATTCTAGTTTTTTTCACTACCATCCAGTAAACTAACATACCTATGGAATAGCTATGGAAAATCACTCTTTTGATATATTTGCATATATGTTGATCAGTAAATCATCCTAAATCGAAGCATGGCTGGGCCATGGTGCCAGCAGGCGCAGTGGGTGCTGTCGCAGCTTGAGTTCTTGCACAACGAAAAGGGGTTCCAGTGGAGGTTCCGTGCTGCGGGCCCCGGGCCGGGATCCGAGGCCTGTTCGGGAAATTGTGTTTTTTGTACATGCAGAAATAGAGATTTACCACCTGGTTATTTAACATGGCCATGGAAAATGGCCCATTTATAGATGGTTCACCTTTTAAAAATGGTGATTTTCCATGGCTATGTTGGATAACCAGATGGTATATAGCAGTGATTTAACTAGGGAACATGGTGATATAAAAGGATTTTGAAATCAGAATCGTTGAGATATATGCGAAACGCCTGGGCGCAATGCCTAGGCGTTGCAATGTGGTTGGTTCCAATCCCCAATAAACTGTTTTATTCATCTGACATTCAATGGGGACGATGAAGAACATTCAATTGAGAAGATGAAGAAGAATCTGAATTCCCACCCCGGTTAAACGTGACATTCAATGGCGAAGATGAAGAATGTCATATGCCGCCATCCTGCTGCTCCGGGCAAAGCGCAGGCATTTGCAAATAAGTATTCCATACATACCAGTAGATTATGTGAGGGTATTGAACTGGATCGGAATAATGGACCGGAAAAGTCGTCTTTTTTAATGTTTGACGTGTCACCATTTGTTTAAGTAAATTTGAGATATTCCCCATTCTGCTCGTCTCAAACAATGGGGAAACATTAGCCCCAAAAGTGCCATCTCCAAATCAAGACAGCAAACGTGGATGCACCAATGCAGCAAAATTGGAAATGCAGTAAGCACGTCAAATGGTTTGCTTCATCATTTTCTGTATTGGAACTGTCATTTTATGGATATGCCCCTAAACTAAAAAAACAAAATGTTATTGTTTCTCAGTTCGATTGCGATTGAATGCCAAACTTTACACAAAATGGTTTGCTCCAACTCATTATAGGTAAATGATAGCAACATGTGGGAGGTAAATTGGTCATATTACCTGCAATGTTTCTCCAATTCACCCCTCTGCAACTCACCTTGTTGCGTCCTTGTTTCGACCCCTCCGGCACCGACGCTGCAGGGATATGGCGGTGTTGTTCAGGAAGGGCAGGGCATCGAAAATGCTGGAGGTGCGGAGTCGAATGAGTTCCAGCGTGCTGCAGTTGAGGTGAAGTCAATGGCAATAATGGTGGCAAAAACAATGGGATTATATAGGGATTATATAGGGTTTATAGAGGTATAACTATGCCATTAATGGTGGCTAATAGTGATTAATAGTGGTTACTATTTTTTTTTGGATCACATTAACAACCAAAGTGTCAACACAATAGTGATTAATGGTGGTTATAATCCATGAGTAGTGATTTATAACGACTAATGGTGGTTTTGAGGATTAATGTGGGTAAAACAAGGGCACAAACCATCCCAGTCATCACCATTTTTATAGGTGGTGAACACCATTCCCAGTCATGGGTGGTTTATGGCATTGTTTTACCAACACTAACTCTTTATAAATAAGAAACTGTTGGGATAGAAACTCCATTTATAACCTCAACTGCACCCTTCCAAAAGTGGGTTCACATTCGTTCTGTTTGAATGGGATTTTCGATATATATATATATATATGATATATGATAGATATACGATATATATATATATATACATGATATGATATATGGGTGAGCGAATTCAATCGAAATTAGATACGATATTATATAGACAAAAATTGTATAATATCCATGTTGATTCATGAATGCATCATAATTCATCTAGATTTTAGATTGCAAAGAAAAATGTGTGTATACATATGTAATCTACATATATATATACATATTATTATTAGATATATGATACTGTATTGTACAAATTAAGGATCGTGAAAATAACTATCAAAAACACGAACTGACTAACCGGTTGCCGGGGGGTTCAGGCAACCGTTTGTTGTTTGTCACATTATCCCCATGAATGATGGTCAAACACATCTATCTCCATCTTAAAGATCAAACATGGTTTGTTTTTGGGTGGATTTGGGACGGTAGTTTTGTCTTCTGCAGTTGCATTGCGGACGACTTCCACATGAACAAAACGAGTTGAACAGCTATAAGTGCAAATACACTTTCTATGAAGACCCGCTGAATGATCACCGGGTGTCATGTGTTTTCACCATGCAATCCAGTCACCCATTTTTGGTTAGCAGATTTTTCCCCCTCTTGTCCATCAAACTGTATTAAATTAAACCATTGAACCATATTGAACCACATTGAACCACATGACACCATATCAAACCTGATTAAACCAGATCAACTCACGTTGAGCCATACAAACCTATATTGAACCATATTAAACAATATACAATCATTTTAAACCATATTAAACCATATCAATCCACCATTTTTAAGATTGCATTTTTTTCCGTAACGTTAGAGATCCGGCATCGGCGTCGAAAGGGTTTTCGGTCGCCACACAAAGTGACCCTCGGAGGGGAGGGGATTTAACCATCAAAAAAAGAGGGCTTTAAACCAGCAAAAAGTGGGACCATCAAACATATAGGTTTTTCACAGCAAAAAAAGAGGTGTGACGGATAAATGGTTGATTGATGATTAGCTTGGGGGGTGTTATTCTAATTAACCATCATTAACCAATATATTGAGGATGATCACAATCCATGAGCGCTGACAATCCCTAAGGCCCTAGGAACAAACCAATACTGAGTGAGCGGCACTGTCTATGTGTCGCTGACTATACCCGACGGAAAGTTTCTTGGAACTGCTTAGGGACAGCTGTCGACTGCCCATAAGTGTTAGGAAACAAACTCTTCATTTATAGAATTGAACTTCAACTTACTGGTGCGTGCGTTTTACGTAGGGTTGCTGGATGGGTTGCTGGGGGTTGCTGGGATGATGACATGAAACTAGTGAGATCTCCAGCACGGCGGTGAGTTCTGAGGCCAACTTAAGAGCGCATGATGTGCCGTATCACTTGGCCCCTCGGCTGTGAAACTCCAACGTTTTCCATGGGGAAAATCATGGGAAAAATGGAGAAATCTTACTATGACTGGTTGGTGGTTTGGAACGTGATTTTTTTCTCCATATATTGGGAATAGTAACCCCAACTGACTTTCATATTTTTCAGAGGGGTTGAAACCACCAGCCAGATAAATAATCTATAAATCTGGGTAAATTATAGCGACCTCACTGTTCTCCCGAGTCCCAGGAATCATGGTTATTAAGGGAAATCATCCCCTTTTATGGCCTTAATTCAGGTATTCAGGTTAGTGATTATTGTAATTTACCCAGAGAAATGGGGTTGATAGCTGGGAAGATCATCAACATACAAGTTGGATTTCCAGCCATGTTTACCGGAGGGTACACCGGACATGGGAACGAAACCTTGGAAATGCCCCAGAGTCTAAGAGGTACAGCATAGAATTCACATCATTCATCTACTGGGTTTGGCTGACAATAGGGTACCCCAAAGGCCAAGGGTGAAAATATAATGTTCCTCAGTAAGATAAATAATTTGCGGGCATTCTGCATTTTCAGACTATTATGTCAAGTTGGTTTTTAATTTATTGATGTTATTTTATGTTGATGATCATGAAATATCACCAATTATAGTGATGATAATCAACATAAAATCGTGATATAGTTATGATAATCAGTTGAATATCACCAATTATATCACCAAATATATCATAGTTATACTCCCACAATGCCTTTTGCCAATCATCGATTTTCCATCACGCAACCGTCGCAAGCCGTTGTTCAGATCCCACCCACCGACATCCCGCTCCGTAGTTACTGTCCAACTAATTTGCCTCCAAAAATCACCAGCGCAAACCCGTTCCCCCTGAAACAGCCCAAGTGTGTGTAAATTATCTACATCCACCGTGGTTTTCCGGGGGTATGTTTTTCGTATGAACGAGGGATGGGTTCATTTCATTGTTCTGCGATGCCGCTCCGGGATGATGATCACCTTTTTGTGAGGTTGGTAAAATGAAATGGACGCAATCTGCGCACGTGCCTTGCAGAAGATGAAAAAGTGGTGGGGAGAGAGAAAGCACCGCTGATGGAAACGGATAGTTATTTTCTATCTCTTCAGGTGCAAAGAATAGATCCTGTCTTACCCATACAATGTGGTGCCCGCAAGATAGCTGAGTTGTGTTGTAACTCAGTTTCCTATGATATTGTGTGTTTCTTTTTTACATGGTAGGCAATGGTAGATATCTATAGCTAGATGGCTTTACATACCAACTAACATCACTGGTGGCCCACCTTAGGCTTGATCAATGTTTCGAAGCAGTTTGCTTCGTGACTGGAGAGAATGATGGGAACAGGACTCGGGGAACTATCTTGAGAAGAAGCCATATGGTTAGTGAAATATTGTAGTTTAGCCAGTAAAATAGAGAACATATAGGTCTTGAAGTCTTCCGACCTTTTTGAACAGCCCGAAAAGAATATTGCGTGTTTTTGCAAGGGACAACCTCACATCGGATTCCGTAATATATATATATATATTTGCATATTTCCTACCTTTAGTCCTTTAGTGGTGCATAATTCTCATGATATTCCCAGTCCATCCATCAATGATGATCCCATATGGTCCCTATGCAGTATAGATTGTGTGTTCCCCATGGGAAATTCTTTAGAAAAAAACCAGCTGCCATCCTCTGACAACGCCAAGGTCAGGGATCTGGTATCCATCCTTCAATGTGCCTTCATTCCTCGCCACCGCTTGGCATGGAAAAGAGCCGCTGGGCAAATTATCCCATAGATCACGGGAATATTAAGGGAAAATACCTAGGGACAGCAAGAATTAGTATGGGCTAGTTAACCAATGATGATTAGTAAGTGGTTGGGTGAGTGGGTTGGCGCAGCCAGTTATAAATGCAAACAGCTACTGAATGGGGACCTAGTATAAGCAGGGTTATTCACTAGTTACTAGTTATTATATGTGCAATGATCCAGAAAAGTAGCATCGATTCATATGGCCAAAAGAGAGTCCATTTCAACCAAAAGATTCAACCAAAAGATTATGATATACAACACGAACATACATTGTCACATTTTGGGCACGCTATGTTCAGACGCCGTCGTTGGCACGTCTACCTTGGCCCAACCTTCGCCCATCTCATCTGTTTCGGGATGACCCCTGGAGGCGACATAGCCGACATGGAAAACATAGCTACTAAACCGACATGGCACAATTTATAGATTATTAACATGCAGATTAAACAAATACATCTATGAAAATATGGTGATTTTCCAGTTCGCTATGTTAGTATAGAGAGTATCCCTCTTGTGCACCAGTTGCCCACTTGTTTCATGGTTCCCCACCGCTCGAATGGACTTGAGCATCCAGTCGCGCTGGATATTCATTGGTTGACCGTTGACCTTCTGAAACCCCAATTCGGGTGATATTTCATGAAACTCGTGCGTGAACCGTTGAACCTTGGGTTTTTGGTTCGGCATGTTTTATCATGTTTTCTTAATGGTCCTTGTCATATGGAGGTGTCCAATCCATAGGGTATCCCCAGTTATCATCCATTTTAGATTGGAATTTTCCATTATAAACCATCAATTTTAGGGTACCTCCATTTATGGAAGCCACCATATTGTTTACAAACCATTATAACATATTATAGCCCCCATAAACTAATATTACAGTAACTAATATTAACTATAGTTATATGTATCATAAACCATAGAATTCAGCCACTTATGAGCTGCATTTTCTTACCCAGCATATCCCGTGGCCAAGGGTGATTCATACCCAGGCTGCTGGGGATCAACCATCCGGGTGTCATTCTACTACACACATATCACATACCCTCTGGTAATGACTAACATAGCTATTGAACATGGCCATTTATAGTGAGTTTTCCCATTAAAACATGGTGATTTTCCATACTTATGTTAGATTACCAGAGGGTATCCCAAACAAAATACAAAATTAGATCATTGGGATGTGTTTGTCACATATCACATATCACACATAATTCACAGATCCCCCCAAAAAATAGACAAATTAGATACCCTCTAGTAAACGTTTACATATATAACTATGGAACATCACCATGCTATTAATGGGTAAATCCACTATAACTGAGCCATTTTCAATAGCTATTTTGACACAACCAGAGGCTTTTTTTTGGTTAATCCCCAAGTGGGGATGGTTCATTGGCTTCGCTGCAGGTACTACAACTCGTTCAAGGACAACCATTGAACATGATGGGAAAAGGCGAAGAACAATCCATGGTTGAACCATGAATGATTAGAGATTTACCTACATTTTGCTTCATAGTGGGGATGGGTCGTGAAATGTTTGGAAACTCGTTTCCCAATTGGGTCGTGGTTTAGCCAGAAAATTGGGTCCCCTAAATCGAAGATTCTTCGAGGAAAAGCGTGGGAGCATCCCCTGGCATCCCGTGGCATACCCTCCATACCCCGGTCCCACTTCCCAGTCGAAGGTACGACTGGATCATCTTGGATCCATAGGGATGTATAAAATGGGTGCCCTATGTATAAAATGGTGACAGTGATGTGCTAAACACGCGATACTGGGCACATGGATGTTCTTTGGATGTTCTTTAAGGAAAAGATATACACTCCATATGCGACCAGTAGTAGAACCTCCAGAAGGTTTTGGACACTTCCGTAGCTCTATAGAAGGAACGCCTTGATATTTAGCGGCTTAAAACTGGCAGTTGATTGGTTAAATTACCAGATTGTTTTGTTTTTCCAAATCAAATCCATATTTCTTGATGGTTCCTGATGAAATCCATATTTCTTGATGGTTCGATCCTTGTTTCTTGATCATCCAACGATCAAATCTCAATGTCTCTTGGTGAGTCATCCGAGCTTCGGTGAACCCCGACCCTTTGGAAGGCGACCCACGACATCCCACGACACAGGAGTAGGCGAGAAGCTCTCCGATCGGATCTTTGAGGAAATCTTCCATAACTTGAGGTGTGGAGAAAAATTGCTGGACACATCTGGACACTGCAATGGACATCATGGACATCGTTTTTTATGTTTTTTTTTGGGGGGGGATGCAAATTGGCCATTACTTATAATGGGGAAACTGTTTTGCCATGGGATTTTGGGAAGTACCCTATTGTCGGACGAGCAAGTACCAATGTTCCGATTTGCGGGTGAAATCCTTATTCGAGTTGCTCCGTTCTGCTCCGTTTTGAGCAAGCAAAGACTCAAGTTGTGTGGGTGAACTCCCCCATTCTTTGCTAGCGATTTCCTGTTTGTTGTTAATTGGAAACGTATTGTTGCGTCCTAAAACGTGCCATCTCATGTAATATCTCACTATATTTCCATATAGAATGTGGGTTACTTCTACCAACAGCCACTTTTTCAAGGCTTATTAAATCCCCATGAAACATATTTAAGAAGAGCCTTCCCCATTTGTTGCTTCAATGGCCCCATCCAACTATAGATATATCAAGTCTCAATCCCTCAAACAAAATATTGGTCGTGAAATCACGGTACCCTCCTGCAAACTGACGTATGTGGAAACCCACCAATTGTAGGTTGTTTTTCCTACCGAAACCATGGATTTTCCACCTCTCTTGAGATTTGTTGTATGTTTACCTTAGGGTAATATCCCTTTTTGTTTGCTTAACTCGCTATTTTCCTGCATGAACACCACTTCGCCATGCCAGGTTGGCTCCTGAGAAGTGGAACAACTGTTCCTTCGCTCAGGTGCTAGTGGTAGCGGGGTGAACTTCACCCCAAAAAAGTGGATGAACATGATTTACGTGTGTTTTTTTTCATTTAGCTGATGATACTTTGTTTTTGTGGGGTGGATTTACCTGGATTGGTGGGATTTAGCTTTTTTTTTACTGGTGAAACTTAACAAACAAAAGTCAGGATTGAATCATGATTTAGCTATATATATATATACTTAGTGTATAATATAAATAAATATATATATATATATATTATACATAATATATAGACATATATATATATATACATAATATATATGTATGTACATAATATGTATATATATATATACATAATATATTTGTATATATACATAATATATATATATTTACATAATATATTTTTATATATACATAATGAATATATATATATATATATACGTAATATATATATATATACATAATATTTTTTATATATACATAATATATATATATATACGTAATATATATATATATATATATACATAATATTTATATATGTACATAATATATACATAATATATATACACACACTTAATATATATATATACATAATATATATATATATATACATAATATATATATATACATAATATATGTATATACACATAATATATATATATACACATAATGTCTATTTACATAGTATATATATATATATATGTACATAATATACATTTATATACATGTATATATATATATTTATATATATGTATATATATATATATATATGTATCGAACCAATGAAGAACTGGGACGTACCGAAACATTCCACCCGCTGCATCCCTCGATAAAAGGATGCCCTTGCAGCTGATATGAAGGTAATCACTGTCCCGCTATTCAACAGTCCGCGGAAAGCATGGCTTAGTAAAGTACTGTAGGGAAATTACACATATTCGGCATATTTGGGACCATTTAGAGGATGTTGATATTTGGATATATGAGATTAGAGATGTTATTAACTAAGATAACTAACATGATTGAACTATTTGAAGCACCAAAATTGGAGTAACGCAATGTGGATATCGGAACATGTCTCCAGCTAATTCCTGTAAGAATAGGCCGCTAATTACAAAATGCCCCAATTATAAGTAGGTTATAAACCCCATTAACTATACATATATCACCTATATATAAACCATAGTTATTGGAGTCATAAACCAACTTAGCTATCTTGGGAGCATTACCTTGTAACATGTAGGTAAGTTGGTTTATAGCCAGGATAATGGATGGATTTATGCTGGCTATTTGCAGTTGGATTGCTTTAAAAGTGATATTTTAACGCGGGGGGTTGGCTAAAAATCTGGATCTTGGTGTCAAACATCTGGTGGTTTCAATGTGTATGTATGTATATATATAATTATATATTGTATACTAAAATTACATATAATCTTTAAATTGTTGGAAATTTCATTCCCAAAATAAGAGGTGTGTCTATCAGTGAGACACTTACCGCAATCGACTTACTGCAATTGAGGGCTTGAAACCACCAAGAGTCCATTTATTCGATCCTCCTTGAATCAGGTAGGGTGCTGTTCCTCCCTTAATCACCTTGGGATGTGAATATATGTGAGCCATTCGACATACCATTGTTGATTGGTCATTGCAAGAAGTTATACTACCTGTGTTTTGGGGATATATATATATATACAAATTATATATATTATCTGGTTGGTGGTTTTGCCCTATAGCTGGGATGATCCAATCTGACTTTCATATTTTTTCAGAGGGTTAGGTCAACCACCAACTAGTATCATGGGGCCTAGGGCCGCTCTTTGAACCAAGGTTTTTTGGGACATCTCGCGACGCAGGACTTGTCGAGCCTGGCAGACTTGATGGACGAGCTGAAGGAGATGGACAATGATCCCAAGAGATGCGTGCCATGATGTTTGGAATGGAACATTGAACATGCAATAACTGAGAAATATACATATATATATAATTATATTGGTTTTTATGCAATTACATATATATATATATATATGAAGCCATGGGACATTGTATATATCAACGGAATGTCCCAAGGTAATTGAAGAATTGTTTATGGTTTCTTTAAGCCTCTTTTAGCCATCATGTGGCATCCGTTGTGTAGAGTCGTCATGTTTGGTTTGCGATGATCCGGGCATTGATCGGGGCAATTTTCATTGGTAAAAGGATGCAGAAAACCATTTTAGGGTTTTACATGGTTTTACAGGATGGGGCCCCTCGTTCGATAGCGTTCAGTTGGTTTACAAGTGGCTGAATTCTATGGTTTATGGTAGATATAACATGATATCACTATTATAGATAACTATGGTTAATGGGGTTTATAAACCAACTTACATAACTGGCGGGCCCATCCTGTAGGGTACCTATGTTTCAGACAAGATTCCTTTGTGCCTTGGAGGTCCAAATGATTTGTTATGCAGAGATTCTGCCTGTGATGTACCAACACAATGCTTGAGAGAACATGGCGTGTTGTGAATCTTAGGGACACACCCATCTCGCATTCCTACATAAGTGTTGTTTCTTCTTATTTTTTCTTATGTTGTGAATTTAGCCATTGTCAGGATGATAATCAGAAGTCATGAAAGGAAATCGGAATTGAGTCCTGATATTCCCATGATTACCCCATGAACATCCAGTTAAAGTTAAAGCGCCAATTTTGCCGGGTGGTCTCGCCATTCGCCTGGTCTCCTTCCATCGCTGGAGGATGTTGCGTTGCAACCACCATTCAATAACTTCATCCATTGGAAACACATGGGAAAACCCTCGGAAAATATGGTTTATAATTTATACTGATTATACTGGTTAATCATGGATTCATAGTGTGTTAAACATGTTTACTGTTGGATATGTAACCGGATACCATCCGGTCAACAAACGTGGTTGGCTGGAAAATCCTCTATATAAATGGAGGTTTCTAGCTGGGAACATCATCTATAAGTTGGTGATTGTCCATTGCTATGTTTGATTACAAATTTACGAGGGTTACAAGATGTTTTTCCTATTGGATATAGTCGTATATATTGGGTTTCATGTTAAATTTAGTGGGTGTATAGCCCATAAATTCGAGTTTTTGTTGTTGAAGTCATTATTTTTGTTGCAGCCGTGCTGCTGCGCAGCACGGCTCCAGGTCGCACTGGCACGCGAGTGGTACCAGCCCTATTTTGAAAACACATTTGCAAACCAGGAGGCAGGGAAACTTGGGATAAAATTGTAATATATATATATATATATCAATGGATATCTGGGATACAAGCAACATGGGGGAAGATGAAGAATTGGGTCATGAATATAAATTGTATATTATTTACTTAGAACATCAATGGGAGGTACAAGCAAATGTGATATTTGGTCCCAGAAATGGGGGGGATATGAAGACCCAAAATTTGCAATGTCAATGGGGAAAATGAGTTAGTTTTATGATGCGTGAATCATTAAGTGTATATGTATATTATATATATATATAGCAGCTTTATGATTTGAAAACTACTTGATTCTTGAGCTACAATGTTTCGCGTGATGTTGCGTGGATTTTTGGGGCTGCTGGTGAGCTGAAACGCTTTGATCATGAACGGAAGCTGGCATGTTTATTGGATAATTCTTGGTGGTTTGAATTGCATTGATTAAATCAAACTCTTGGTCACTATATGTAGCTGGTTGGTGGTTTCAAACATTTTCCATAATTTATGGGATAATCCTTCCCATTGCCTACTATTTTCAAGATGGTTAAAACCACCAACCAGTATTCATCAGCAAATTTTAACGATTTGATTTAATGATCTGTTTTTTTGTGCCAGAAAATGATGCTTCTGAAGGGTTCAACGGCCCAACCAAAGTAAAAGGGGTCGAATGTCGCTAAAAAGAATGGGTGCTGGTTGCAACTCACACGTGAGTTTTCTGTTTTGTTGGTGAAAACCATAGATCAATGATGATTAATGACCCTTATGATAATGGTAGATCCGTTACCTTTATGATGTCACCATTTTTACTGAAAATCATTGAACCTTCGCTGGGTGAATCCCTATCCCGATCCGAGAAATTCAGCATTGCCTCAAGTTTCTGATAGGTTTCTCACTGAATTTCCCAATTGAGGCTGCTGAAGCCCTCTTTTTGCATCTTTTTGCCTTTTTGCTAGTGACCTTGACGCCTTGATGCCTTGACATCCATTTGTTTGTTGAATTTTTAGTCATTCCATTGTCCTTACCACAAGCAAACACTGAAAAGGGCTACTTTCAACCATTTGTTGGCGGGTTGAAAAATAAACAAGACACGGGCGCCGCTTACCATGGCCATAGAACTGATATCACCATCTGCACTTTTTCAAAATGCTACTCGTAGATGTGTCCGGGATGTATATGGGATATTTAATCTGGATTTAGGATGATTTAGGATGTTCTGACGTTTACACTCATGGCCCTCGGAAGATCTGATCAGAATTGAAGTGTCGCACGCAATTCAATTCTTGAAATATGCTGAGATTAGACCTCTATGCTCCGCGCACTTGGAGACACATGCAACGCAACATCTTCGATGAAGTATTTGTTGTTATTACCATTGGTCAATCATTGTCAATAGTGGTTAATCAGTTCAAATAAATTGATATAACACTATATATATAATTATATATAATTATGTATATACATATATAGATGGTAATTGAACTATAAATAAAATGTTTTTTGGTTCCTATACAGATACCATGCAATTTTTCACATGGCGCCATGGCGCTGGAGAATCCCCCAGCCAATGGTTCGATGATTTTCCCATCCCCAGCTATAAACACCCATTGATGGGGGATTTAATGGTGATTTAATGGTGATTTAATGGGTTAACAATGGTGAATAGTGGGATGATAATGGGATTTACCCTCTGGTAAACTAACAGTTTGCGAACTTGAAAATGGCCGTAGAAATAGTTGGTTTACCCATTAAGAATGGTCATTAAAAATGGGAATTATATTTATATTGGGGAATCCCCTAGCAATGGCAAGCTGGAAAATCCAATATAAATAGATTTATGGGGCTAGATGTGTTGGAAAATCCACCAGCTAGCAATGTTTGATTCCCAGAGGGTATGCCCCCTCGATATATGACCATTGGTTAATCCGTATGAATGGAGATAGAACCAAAAAATGTTGACATGACCGTCAATACATGCGATACTTGGGGGTAAACACCAGCAAACATTGGGTGATTTGTAAAATCAGCAACCATGGGCGCATACCCAGTAAGAGTGGGAATATACCCTTCAGTAATCAAACATGCCTCAGCCAGTTAATATGTATATATGTCCTACTATTCTATGATTATGATGAATGTTTTCCTTTTTTCAAAGAAAACTTCATTTGTTTGATCGTTTGTTAGTTATGAACCCAGTATCAGGCACATATTTTACCCTTTTATACCCCATGAATTATCTTTACTACTACCAACATTTTAGTTGTTATTATTGTAAGTGAATATACATGTATTTTATATGTGCGTATCTATGTGTATATACATATATATATATATATATGTAAATTATGTATATATAAATATATGTATTATGTATATATGTATATTATGTATATATGTATATTATGTATATATATATAGATAGATAGATAGATATAATATACCACTATTATAGTAGGGGGACTATGGCCCTCCCAGTTCCAATTTGGGATCGGAGGAGCGCCTGGAAGACTTCCTGGTCTTTGAAGACTTCGTGGAGAACTGGGACAGGTCGACTGTGGCCGAAGCATTCGAACGGGACCGGTCTGTCAAGTAGATATATATGTATGTAAATATGAATGAATATGAGAATATGTAATGAATGAATATGTATATGAATATGAAAGTGAATATGTAGATATGAAATGAATGAATGAATATCATAGGTTAAAAAAAAATACATACATAATCCCCCTGGGATTTTCCGAAATTCGAATTTCCACTGGGATCATATGTATATATCTATATTACATATTTGATATAATAGCATATATATATATATCATATCATATTTCTACATAGAAAAACATCCACAGTATATATATATATATACCATGAAGTAAACCCCTGATGTTTTGCCAACAAAATCATGTGTTTTGTTTTGAATGCCAAGAAGAAGACTTTTTATATAATTACTTCTTCAAATGACTTGATATTTGTCACTTATATGTTTCGTTGGGGTGTTCCAAACTTGGGCCTAGTCAGTAATCATCACCTAGTCGACCATGACTCGTTGGAGTCTCCTGGGCTCAGGATGACAGATGCCTTGGAGGAAATGAATCTTTCAGCACTCAGCAGCGACGAAAAAAACGATGTTGGGAGCCACAGATTCTGGATCCGTGGGCACGGAGGATCATCCCACGGATAAGTGGTGAAAATAAGCCAAACGCAAGTCCCATTCAGTGGGGTTAACCCATATACATATATGTAATTATATGTATATATTTACATATATACAATATATATACATATATATGTACATATATATATAATACATATGTATATATATATATACCTGGGTTGTGACCTTACTTACTAACCAGTCACTCAGTGGTATGATCCTCCAAGTAAAAGGAATCTCCTAGGATAATCCAAATATTGGATTTATGATGGTAAAAAAACTTAACTATCCACAATGGATGATTACCGAAAAGGACATGATCCCATTTCCCTTAAGATTCAACACCCCATTTGTATCATCCCAATCCCATTAATTAAACCACGGTTTCTGGGCAATGTTCAAATATGTTGGAGGTGGGATTATTTAGGTTACACTATGTTCCACCAAATCCCCATGAGCTCTCAATGGCTGGATGCATTAAACATTGATAATATCCCATCTGGTTGAGTCCAATAGAATGTCAGCATACATGTCAGACAAAATCTCACGTCAATGACGTGAGAATAACTGCATGACAGACAGAATGTCAGAATGTATGTCAGATAGAATGTCGGAATATGCCAGATAAAACCGTCAATTAGAACGTCAGATGAACTGCTACTTGGGAAGGTTGATCCCATTTAGCCACCAGCAATGGATAATTGATTACGCTAAGGTAAACATACAAACATATGTGGAAAACCCATGGTTTCCCTAAACGATAATCTGCCAATGGTGAGGTTTCATGGGACTTCCACATCTATGTTAGTTTGCAGGAGGGGAAGCAAACCAGAGTGTAGTTGGTAAGAATCAGTTTTTGCAACGCTTGGACAATTAAGACATTCCAATATGGTGCCTATGTAATTCAGAATCTCCATGTATTGGTGATGCCCGGTCTCTTGCTGGCTTAATCCTTTTCTGTTTAATTACAGGGAACATGTTGTCAACCCACGATTCGTAAAGCCTGGTTGATTCAGTAGTTAAGTGCTACCTACCAACAAAGAAGCGGTTTACCAAGATTCGACTTTATCAAGTACCAACAACATTATAATTTAGTATATGTGGGCATCCCCCAAAAGAAACAGAGGTAAATCTCCACCAAGAAAAGAAGATTCATTTTTCTAATTCGCCTTTGGAGGCTACTTTAAATGTACCTCTTTCCATTTTTTATGTCAACCCTGGTAGATTCGTTCATCAACATGGCCATGAGGTTGTGACCTTGTCGACCATCCACTCAGCCAAAGGGCTGGTTGCTCGATGACAGGGGACTGGGTTCTACATTCAGCAATGCTTAGTACTGGTTAGTGTTGGCTAATCATAGTTCAGCATGGTTAGCAATAGTTGATAAGTTGGGTTTATATGTGTTAATACTCGTTGCAGATTTGACACACCCTAACTAACGATGAATAATTGTTGACAATGGTTAGTATGAAGATGGGGTGTCCTTGATAATACACATGTTTATGGTATATACATTATATATACATTATATATACATTATATATACATTATATATACATGATATATACATGATATATACATTATATTTACATTATATTTACATTATATATACATTAAAGATATACATATATACATTAGACATATATATATATATACACATAATAATATCAATATTTACTAATACGTATCCCCCTTGAACATCATTTAATTCCATGGTTTCCAAGAATTCGATCTCGGTCAATAGTAGTTTCTTAAATCATTTGGATAGTCGTGTTTATTGTCGGGAAACCAATGATGCTTTTCCAATTTCGAACAGAAAACACCTTGTTGAACATTAGTGAAAATAGGTTCCTCATAACAACAACAACAACAACAACAACAACAACAACAACTACTGCAACAACAGCAACAGCAACAGCAACAACAACCACAACAACAACAGCAGCAGCAGCAGCAACAACAACAGCAACAGCAACAACAACAACTGGGGCCCCTAGATAACTAAATTGGTTTATAACTCCAATAACTATAGTTTATGGTACTTATAACTTATAACTATCGTCAATGGGGTTTATAGTCCAACTTATAAGCCATGATTGATCCTATAGGAAACTGTGGCGACAGCATGCGCCAGCCACAAAGCTGTTGAACGCGACAGCATAAGGCAAGTTGCAAGAAGGAGAAAGACTTGAAACCCGTGACGAATGGCAACGCGGCGCTGCGAGCCTTACTTGCGGAGAACGCAACGCCCAAGGGCAAAGGCAATGGACGTGGCAAAAAAAACTCATGAGTCCAGCATCGCACACGGGCGACACACCGGCATGATCGCCGAGTTCGCAATCGCTGGGTCGGGTGTGGTGGTCTAAACGTTGTCTAGTCCCTTGACGCTTGACTATCCATAATATGTATAATGTATTGTTACATATTATTATTGTATTGATATATCATTTGTCTTTCTATATTTCGAAGATTTCGAAGCAAACTACAGCTGGCATCACCACAACAAACCGGGAGAAAATGCGTTTCATTTGTGTTCACACGCATCGCACAAGAGTTTCGCTCACTCCAATTAACAGTCGATTGAAGCGACTTCCCTAGCTGACCTAAAATCGGGCAATTCACCAACACCAATAGCACGGAGATGTAGGTTCTTGGGGACACAGTTGAACACAAAAAAAGTACCTTAACTAAACCAAACCACTTCTAAAAACAGCTGTTCTTGTTAGATTCATTTCTAGTCTCACGGCCTCGCGTTTTCGTGAAATTTCCCGGCTGCTGGTGTAAATCCGATTGACAAAACCATGAAGTTCCCGGGAATCCCCTGTTCGGTGAAATCTCAGGTTTCCGATCCTTTCCGATTGGATCAGGGGAGTCCCTGGGTTCAGGGGAGTCCCACGGTTCGATGGTGGCGATGTCCGAAATAAAAAGGTCAACCCACTGTTGGCGATGGATGATGGTGGCGATGTCCTTTTTCGGTCAACCATTTTCGATTTTTAAAGTCATGAAATTGAGTTCGCGGATTTTCGGATTTTCCAAGTATTGATGATGTTTACATACATCCCCATGAAAGCCTCATGAAACATCTCCCAGATATCACCAGAATCACACTTGATAGGTAACTGTGTGATAAACATACCCATTCTCCATACTTGGAGGATAATCTTGACTTACATGTTTAATGCATTTTAATGCTATTCTTCATGTATTCGTAGTGAGGTTGATCCTGTTCAGGTAATTGTGTGATGAAGATACAAGAAGCGGATAGGGTCCTGTAGATAGCTAAGATTTATTAACCATACTAACTAGGATTTATGATGAACGTATCAAACTAGTTAGATGACGTTATAAACCAACAAATATAACGCGCAGGTTGCCCTTCCTGGTTAGTGAATTATTGTCATCCAGATACATCCCATTGAATCCCAAAGAAATCTCCAAATCCTATGAAATATCCCTTCCTGTGATCCGAACAAGTCACCAAATACCGTGACATCCAATGAGACATCCCATGAAATACATCAAATATGTAACCTTTGGTAAATCAACAGTTGGTCCCTGAAATCAACCATTTTTAAATCTATTTGAGTGGTTTTACCACTCATCTTCCAAGCCCTGGCAGGGTTCATCACTTATGTCTCGAGGAATGGAACTGTGTTTTCATCATTGATCTGGTGGACGACTTCCCTCAGCCACTGGCATCAACGTTACGTAGCCATTGTTTTTTGGTCAGCCACTAGGGCGATTTTAACCATGAAACTCGTGGAGCAAGATATGGATAAGGATATGGATGAAGTATGATGTATGGATAACTATGATCCTTTCATACTCAGTGAAAAATGGGATGTGAATGGAATTTAACCCTTTTTTGGGGTGCGATCAACATGTTCTAACTATCAAACAGATATGGAGGCATGACGAATATGATGGATAGATTTTATAGATGATGGCTGATTGGTTTTGAAGCCCACAACACTTGGCATACCTTTTTTAAGCAGCCAGTAAAATAAAATGACATAGGATCTTGAACAGCACTGAATTGGGGGTTCCCATCAAAGCTGGATCGAGATTTATCAAGTATATAGATTTATTGAACATGTAACATGTTTATTAATATTGAAGGAATTTGTTGTTTCATTTTTGTGTGTTCACTGAAATATGGTGAACATGAAGTTTAAAACAAAAAAACACATGAGATGGGCTGGAGTTCCCAAGATAATATAGGATTGAAACCAGCAACCTGCATAGGTGTGGCAGTGTCTCAGAATTTTGAAACCGAGTGCTTAACACATCAACATCTTCACTGGCTATATATAGATCAAGATACTTTGCGGTAATCAAACGTGGCATGCTGGAAAATCCATCATTTATCAATGTGTTTCCCAGTAAACCTCGATTTCAACCTCGATTTAAACCTCCATTTCGTTCGGGGATTTCCAAGTTTGCCATGTTTGACACCCGAGCGAGGCATTCCTCAATCCCTCAACGGTCAGGTACAATCCCCCAGAAGAAGAGCTCAGAGTGCTGCAGCCTGGCCAAACCGCAGTGGACGAGATGATTTGATACCAATCATGCCCACAACATCCCACAACTATCAATATTAATTATATAGTATATTTGTTGTTAAATATATGATATTACATATGTTCTGAATTGCATTGCTGGCTCACTTCTATCTATTTGTTTGCTCTCTCGTGAACTTTTGTCCTCACTGATGGATTCTTTAGATGTTGCAATATGTTGCTTACATGGTGGTGCGTGTGAGTTTGCTCATCATAGCTCATCATAGCTTAGTCAGCTATATGCCCAAAATGTTGTTGGCAAAAGCAGCCAAGTTCCCCCAAAAAAGGCACCACGTGGTGCCCCCGTTCGATAGCTATTTAGAATTATATAACTCCAATTTCACGATGGTTTATAGGTGATATATATATATATATATCTATAGTTTTCATGGGGTTTATAAACCATTAGAAACGTTTATATTTATACAAACCATAAACCAACTTATAACTGGGGGGCACCATCCTGCCCAATGGTGAAATCGCAGAACTCCAGTGACCTTCGAGGTATGTGGGAATTACTCGAGCTCGTCATCAGCTTTTCCTCACTTGTCCGGGCCAACCGCTTTCGTAACTCGGACCCACCACCCCATGACTTTTGGTGGTTGACATATATTGTTATTTATACATGTAGTAACACCCAAACAGATAGACAATTCATTTGCCACTACCTTGCTGGGATTTTACTGTACTTGTCTACCTTTTGACGGAGGTTTATATATATAAATAAATAAATATATACATATATATATTTTTGTAGGGTTTGATATGCAAATTGTGGAGGTTCACACTCTCCACATTTTGACCTGGTTAAACCTTGAGGATATCTTAGCCTAACCAGCTATATAGTTGTCTTTTCTTGCTGGGATCAATAAAATTGGTCATAAAATTGGCTATGTGTTTTATGGGATTTCCTCACCATTGGGATTGAACTTATCCAAGAATAATGGAAACATCAAATCGGCAGTATATCAGTTTGTGTGAAAATTCCTGGAACAAACAGTAAACAAAAAGCATGGTGATTGAAATGTTTTGCCCCACTACAATGAGCTGCAATGAGCTATGTCCATGTATGTCCCACGTTTGGACAATGACATGTTTACACATATAGGCAAACTACAACAGCCAAGCCCTGTGATGGTTGCCCAAATCCATGGGGGCAAAAATTACCTATACAGCCTATACAGATCTATACAGTAGATAGATGTTTATTGCGGGGGAGATGGATGTCGGTAAAGCTACGATGCATGTGTGCATGTATGATCCAGAGAATCATTAATGACATACAATGACGGATATTTCGTTGCGTGTCAAGAAATTGGTTGTTCCCGGAAGCTTTGCTCTAAAACCCACGGCTCAAAAGAAAAAACAACTGAAGAAAATGGTGAGCCGTGCAAGTGACAGCATCGCTAGACTTGTATCAAAACAACACCTTTCCCAGAAATGGGCAATTATATGGACTAGCCAGCTAATTGAGTATGTTTGCATATTTTTCCTAGGTATCTAAGATTATCTAAGATTTGCAGAGGCTTACATGAGCCAGTCATTTTTTTGCCAGTGAACCTCACCTTCCAAGGCCATGGCTGAACAGAACGCCGAAGCTCTCGGAACTTGTGCAGATTCGAGGCGCGACGTCCAGTGAGAACTCAGCGATGTTCTGATGGACGTGGTTCCCATCAAGTTCCCATGAAACAAGCAGCAAAACAAAGTGGTTCGCACCGATTTTTAGCACCTCTTGTTGAGCAAAAGTAATGTTCAACTGGCTGGTTGCCAAACCGAGCTGCATGGTCAGCAAATTAATTTTAGAATTGTTAAAAGACAATACAGTAAGGTTGTAATGGGTTTCAATCGTAAAGTACCCGTAGCGTAAACGGGGACCAGCCGATATGGCAGAACATGGAGATTTGCAATTTTTGTTGCTGGTTGATGTTGGGGTTAGATAATGGTTGCGGGTAATCAATTACAGCAATTTTGTTCTTAGAGGTATCTTAGGGTGTCTGATTTGGTTGGGATTGATTTATTATTTGTTACGTGATATTTGGTGTAAATGAGGTAGAGATGCTCTTTGTAGAGGTTTGAATCACGCTGTGGTTATTCGAATGCATTTTCCTTCGATGCAGAGCCTCTGTTTTGCGGGTATTTTCACAATAGGATCCACAAAGTTAATTCTCCTGGTTGACAAGATGGCATCCCTGCAAAGATTGGGGGGGGTAACTACGTTATTGTGTCATCAAATCCCTTTTTGAACTTCCCAACTGAACAAAAAAAATGATAGAAATCGAGGATCATTGCCCTACCACATACGTCAGTGATTCAGAAGGCAAAAAGAAGAAGAAGAGTTGCGCCACACACTGCCAAGAGCGAAGCCACAGCGCCAAAGCGCAAAGCTCCACCTCGTGTGTAGAGGCGCGCACCAGCGGCCCACCTAGGCCGCACGCTGAGTTCGCGGAGAGGCCTTAAGACGCAGCAGCGCCTCAGACCTCCGAATAGCTGCCATCTGCTGTAGCAACTTTAAATTGGGATTATTAGAGGGGCCCCACCCCAAACGACGGGTCAACAGGCAACCAGGGGGAGGAAGGTTTCGCAAAGAATTGAAAGCTTCACAACTCCAAAGAACATGTTCAACCGACGGAACCTCAAGAACACCACAATATGGGCAATCAGGAGTTGGACCAAGACCATCCTGAAAGCGTTGAAAATCAATGGCAGCAGTCATCATTCCACCCGTTAAGATGGCAACCATATGGGCATCACATTGGTTTTGAACAAAAGTGTGAATGGTATCAATCTGAGAATCAGAAACCAGAAGACCCACCTCACGAGCAATCGCCGAGTCACGACGAGTTTTGGACTTGAGCCAATGAGTCACCAACCCATGACGCCAAGCAACACGGACATGATGCAAAACGGCATCCAAGAAGCCTCGATGGACCCCAAAGTCGCAACCTAATGGAGCCCCACAGGAGCGCTTAATACCCTGAGAGGAAGCCGTCCAACCCAAGGGACGGAGAGCTTTCTGAAGCATCTGGACCGCCTGATCGGACCAGGAAACCGAAATGCCCCCCTGGGCACGATAATCAAACCAAGCGAACGACGATCGAACGAATCGATGCAGACTAAATAATCCAAGGTCACTTGAATGTCCAAGGAAAAAGGCCCGCCTCAACTGAGTTGAAGCGCGTCCACCAGGGAAAGAAGGACACTTAGTGGCCTGATTGAACTCAGTGGCAAACTTCGACTGTTCCTGAGCAGTGGGACCCCGACCCTTCAGAAAGGTCCCCCACGCAGCATGGGAAGCGTAGACTGCCTGAGCAAGTCCTCTTTTCAACTTGGCCGAAACAGGCAAATAAGCAATAGCAGTGGCACGACTGGTGGCGTCACTCTGACGCTTGATGTCCTCAGGAGTAGGCACCGTGGCCCCAAAAGTGATTCCCAAAACATGGAAAGAATCCTTGGCCTCAGTGAACCCAGCCTCTCGCAGATCAGAGACCGCCTGAGGGGTCCGACCCCAAATCTGAGTTTTTGTTTGATTGGACTTAAGACGACCCAGGCGCTCGAACGCTCGCCACTCCTCCAGGAAAAGTCTCAAAGAGGCAGGAGTATCAAGAAGACCTGTTCGGTCGTCCATGTAAGTGATCTGAAAGCCTGCAGGGATTCTACTGGCAATTCGGCGAATGACAGGAGCCAAAACCAGTGAGAGCCCTAAGGGCGCCCACGGATCTCCTTGCAGCAAAGCAGCAAGGTTGCGCAGCGGTCGCTTGGCCACGCAGGTCCCAAGAGTGACCCAACGGGTCTGAGATTTCCACATTCCAGCCAAGGCACTGACGATCGCATCGGGCACTCCAGCTCTGGGTAACAGCTGCACAACGAGTGACCAATCAGCCGAATCGAATGCCTTTTGAAAGTCAAGACTGGCAGCGTAGGGGTGCGACTGAAAAGAAGTTTCATTTTGCATGGCCAAAACTAAGGTATCCAAACCTAAGTGGGGCAACCCTCCAACCTGCAGCGGCGGGAGGCATTGAGTCAAATGGGTGCCGAGCTGGTGGAACCGTCTCTTGGCGTAAGCTCTGAAAATCAAGCTGCCGATAGCTATCGGACGGACCTTAGTGGCCTCAGTGACCTGAGCAGCATTTTGGCCCTTCGGAACAAAGGTGAGGCGCCACTGCGTCAGCGCGTCAGGCCAAGTACCACAGGTTTCGACTTGCCTAAGAATTTGCACCAGTTGGGCCCATGCCGTGTCAGGCAGAGCTAAGAGTGCCGAAGCGCACCACTGGTCAGTGCCGGCCGCTTTATGACGCATTTGACGAACACTTTTCCTCAAATCTTCCGCACTGAGCTCAGGACATTGAATTTGAGGGAAATTGGGGATCCAAGCATGATATTCAGACAAAAAAGCACGAATGCTACTTTGGGGGTCATGACCAGTGCCAAAAATAGGCTTCCAAGCCCGTCGGAGGAGTTCCGCTCCATCACTTCTACCAGTGCTTTGTTCCTCCCCATGGCGCAAAGACCATGGGGGTGGAGCCTTGCGTTTGAGCCATTTACAAGCTTCATCAAAATTTTTGACCTTAGCAATCCAAGTCGCAATTGCCGTTTGGTGAGATTGACGAAGTGTCTCTTGCAGCTTGCGGTGCAAGATGTCCCGACATGCACCCCACTGATGAAGTTCAGCTTGTTGCTGCAGGTCCCACGTGCTGCATCCACGAACGCACGCCCGGACCAAATCGGGAGGCAGCGGATACTGTTCGATTTCTAAATGCCGAATCTCATCCAAGCGGCGAATCAGACGCCTAAGTTGGCGTTCACGAAGGGGTTGCCCGGGGGCCACCCGGGCACCGGCATTGATCAACTTAGGCACAGTACCACGTTCCCGAGTGCCAGGTGTAGCACAAGTTTTTCCCGTCTGGAGCAGGAAAGCATTGGCCGCACTGCTCCAAGCCTTCCAAGAAGCCTCAGGAGTTTCCCGGAGAAGTTGTTGCCACGCACTAACACTGGGAGTGACCTTAGTCCACTCAGCCTCAGCTTGCTCCTTAGACAGGGACGGCCACTCAGAGTCAGGCAAAAGGGGGGCAACCTTTTGGAAGGTGAGTGCCGGTGGGGTGGCATGCAAGAAAGGAAGTCGGGACAGAGAGACACAAGAACCAAAATGGTCAGAAAGAGGTGCAAGCACTTCGGCAGTGTCACACGACAACGACCCAGAAATCCACGACGAATCCGTCGGGGTGCTGCTGGTACGATGACCCGAAACAGCAGCCACCGATCCTCCCAGCCGGCCCATAAGATCATGAAAAGGGCCTTGGTAAGGGGAGGAGTTCCAATCGACTCCTAAGATCCAGTGACGATGCTGTGCCTTGGCAAAGCCGGACAAAATGGCCTCATTAGCAGAATCCAAGGCACCATCCGGCCTTCGATAACCACTGCAAACTGTTATGGGCATGGCATGACCCAAGAGTTCACAAACCAGCAGCTGACCCCAGGTACCAGTTGACTGATGAACATGCGAGAGAGCCAGGGGCTCTTTAACTAACACGGCCACGCCCCCGCGGCCACCTCCTTCCACCAGGTGAGCCGGAATGGCCACCATCTGCCATCCACTTCGCTGACACAAATTGGCCAAAGAAGGCATTTGTGATTGGGTAATCCCAGTTTCCTGTAAACACATGACGTGGACCTTATTCCTTCGAGCCAAGGCACACAGAGCGGTAAAATGCTTACGAAGCGAATTGATATTGAGGTTGAGAACTCTGAGCTGATTGACCGGGCCCGGGTGGGAAGCCTCTCCAACTCTGACCCCTCGGAGACCAGAACAAGTGACCGCTGTTCCAGCAGCGCGATTGGACAACTGAGCTTTGCTACGAGGCCTAGAAGTCTTGCCAATGGTTTTCCGAACCTTAGCTATGGTTCCAGCCCTTTTACCTCGGTTGCCACAATTGGTGACAGCTTCAGAAGGCAACATTTGATTAGCTCATATTGGTTCCCTGCATCGTTGAATTCTCCCTGTTTTGTGTCAGCATGTCTACACACCGACGGCGGGTGCTCTGGGAAGAGATTGTTCGCTGCGGTATAGTATAGATGCATGGAACATTTAGGGGTACATCCAAACTAAAAACCCATTTGGCTAAATCGGCATGTTTTCCATTTCGATTTGGGATAACTTCACGACACTCTGATTTCTCCAAAGAGTTATGGTCCTTGACTTGGATGGATAGCTTAGTACTTCAATTCCATGGCGGAACAAGCGGGTGCAGTTACACTACATAAGTAGGTATTATATATACTGTATGTCATAGTAAGAATAGTAAGCATATTAGGCCCAATTTATGGGGATTCTTACCAGAGCTATATCATATCCATTGACAACCCCAAATTGCAGCAAGTATCTCCCGCTATACTTTTGAGTAATAGTTACCATCTGGTTATTTTACATAGCCATGGAAAATCACCTTTTTAAAGAGGTAAACCATCTATAAATGGGCCATTTTCCATGGCTATGTTAAATATCCAGAGGGTACAGGATATGGATCTCCAAGATTTGCCATGGGAACCACTTCAGCATCAGCCGCTTTCACGGGATGACTCTGGAATTCTGGGAGAATTCCGCAGATCGGGGCTAGGTCATCGGGATGCAAGACCAACAGACTACACAGACTGGCTGTTCTGTCTTGCGGGGACTTGTGGGAGAATCG